AGTTCATTTTCGAACATATTATATTTGAGATGAAAATTAGTCATACAAATGGAAATGTTAAATTAGCAGTTGTATGTACAAGTCTCGAGTTCAGAAAGGAGGTCCAAGTTGGAAATAAAAATGTAAGTAAATATGGTATTAAGGCCTTGAGAATAGATAAGATCATCAAGAGAAATGAGTCTAGGTAGAAAAGAGATAAGGTCCTAGGATTGAATTCTAGGCCACCACAGCATTTAGAGGTTAAGAAAATGAGAAACCGACAGAGAAGACAAGGAATAGTCAGAGGAAATTCCAAAGGGTGTGATGCACTGGAGGCCAAGTAAAGAAAAACTGAGGGAAAAGTTTTTATCTTTTTTTTTCATCTTTCCAGGAAAAGATAAGTGATTATCTATGTCAGGGCTGTACGAATTATTTAATGACCATGCATTCAATTTAGTACATATGTACCAAGTTTGGAATCACTTTAGGATTTTAACATCTCTCTCCATTAGGGATATTGATAAAAATTTTGTTGATAATCAGGATTCATTTAGTTTACAGTATATCGAATCTTGTTGTAAAATATATAATTAATACATCTGGATATGTGTGTATATATATTATGAGTTTACTTTTAAATCTAGAATAGCATTTCCTGAAACACAAAAAGTTATTAAGACTTTATGAGCAAAAGGTGTTCTGGACACTTAAAAGCTTGGAAAATGATAATATGCATTATACATTTCAAAATAACAGCAACATTTTCCAAACTTACATCATTTAAGAACCCTTTTGCTTTCCAGTCTCTTTTATGTATGTCAGGCATTCTGAGTAACATTGTTTAGGAAATATTGAATTAAAAGCCTGGGCACATTTTTCTGTCCTAACTGTAGCAAAATTTGTGTCAGCAAAGCTCGGGGGATATTTCCTTTCTGCCACCTCAACACTTTACTGAGAACAAGATCTTACTGCTTCTGCATCACTTATGCTAGAAGATGTGATGACCTTTGCATTATTTTTACACTAATAGTTCTTTCTTCAGGTTTTCTACTGTTACTTTGAGATGCCAAAATGAAGAGATGCTTGATTTCTTTAAAATAGAACATGAAGTTCTAGAAAATAAAATATGTAAAGCACAATTAGTACACTTTAAATTAGTTAGAACAATATAGTTGTAGAATATAGTCTAATTTGATATTTTAATCATCAACATCATATACTTAATACTTTTGGTAAAATTACTTTCCCTTTAGGGACAATTGTCCATTTTAATGGTTCTGTGTTCTTACTATGCCTCCTCATATTCTTTCTTTGAAGTATGTTGGACTTTTTTTTTTAATACAGATTTTCATTATTTCTCTAAAAGTCTAATGTTGGTTTAGTTCTCCTCTTTCAACCCTGGCAAATGGGGTAGGACAGAAGATTTGTCCTTAAGAAGTACTGTTAATCTCCAGGTCAAAGATTGAAAGGAGAAAGGTAAAAAAGATGAGAAAGTTAAATAAAAGTGCATTTTGCCAGTGGAATACCACTTAGCTAAATAGTCTTAAAATACCAACTTCATTTAAAGAAGAACCACAGAGTTTACTGAAAGGTCTGCGCTTCACTCCCACCCACATCCCCAGCTTTATCTCTGGCCTGAGTGTATCTCCACAAGTTGCAGACTCAGTTTTAAATGATAAAAAAAAAGGGGGGGGGTACAAAATAGAATTAGGAACACATACAGAAAAACATGAACAGAAAGACATGTCCTGTATAATGCACAATGTCCCATTTAACTTCACGGAGACACACAAGGTAGCTCTGCTTTGGTTATTATATTGGTGAGAGATCTCTTGAAGTCTAATTCACCTGCTTTACTTTCAACCCTCCACTCCAACATTCAGTTGTTGATTACATAAAAATTTATTTTCCCCCCCAGTTTTATTGATACACTCAACATGTAACCTTGTATTAGTTTAAGGTGTACAACATAATGGTTTGATATACATGTGTAGTACAAAATGAAAAATCTAAGTTGCCAATTATCTACCTCCAAAGGAAGGAAGCCACACCCACTGAAATCTCATACTACCTCATGATTAGAGTCACAGAAACTAGAATAATAAATGCCTTGGTTGGTATCTTTGACAGTGGACTTTCAAAAATACCCAAGTCCTAAGTTTGAATCAACCTTGGAAATGTCCTACAGAAAATATAAACAGAGGCTGGTAGCCATGACTGTCATCTCTCAGATGTAGCAGAGATTTTATTATGGATAGATTATATACATTTTATACCAACAGGAAATTTCCTAAAGCAAAAAGCAAGTTTTTTTTAGAAGAGTAGTTTCACGATTTGTTACAGTTAAACAGAGTATGTTTTCTGGGTTCCTATGTAAGACTCAAACGTCTGTGGCCTCTGTCACAAAACAAAGTTCATGATCCCAGTCTAATTATCATTTCTGTGCTAGCTAACTCTTTAATGAATTTGTAACCTGCCTTTAGCCACAATGGAGAACATTCTCTACATTTACTCTACCCAGTTTAATGTTACTATTACATTTTCTTTGTTTTGCTCTCTTTATGTATCTTCATCCTACTGTCCTGTATGCATTTTTAGAAGCCATTTCAACTATTTTTAGTACAGAGAAACATATAAATTATAATTAATTCACCTTTTTAAATAATTTAAAAATATTAAGTTCCCATAATTCAGGTTATGAGTTTATTGTCCCACATATGCACCTCTGTGGTACAAGTTGAATTCATTCATTTGATGACCATGTTCTAAGTACCTACCATGTGTCAGACACTGTTCTGCGTGCTGGGGGAAACACTAGTGAGTAGTATGGCAGGCAGAGATAATGGAGAAATACAAAGCAGGGAAATGAGATAGGGATGCCATGGGGGCAGGGTGGGGGGGAGGTTACATTTTAAATAAGACAGCCGGAAAGTGCTTTGAGGTTACAAATCATGATCTGAAGGATCTGAAGGTAAGGGATTAAACCACATAGATATCCAAGGCAAGAGCATTCCAGGCACAAGGAATATCAGTTAAAAGTTCCCAAGGCAGAAGAAAACTCTGCATTTCTGAGGATCAGCTAGGAGACCAGAGTGGCTGGGGCTGACTGTTAGGTGGTATTAAGAGGAGGAGATCTTTCTAAGGACTGTGGCTTATAGCTGAAGTGAGATTGGAAGCAATTGGAAGTTTCTGAACAGAACAAGTTAAATAACCTAAAATTTACAATACCTGAAATATCTAAATGAAAACAGGTAGCTGTGGTAAGAATTAGTCCACAAATATTTATGGAATTCATATTACTTACTAGGATTTTCCTAAGCATTGGGCATACAGTGATCAACAAAACACTCATCAGTTCTTGCCCTCATGAAGCTTTAGTCTTGTGGGTAAGAATATTAACAAATGATTAAGCAAATAATCAAACTATGCTGGGTGTAAGATGAACTGGGTTATTTCTGAAAAAATGAGGGAAGGAGGTCTAATCTAGTCTTGAGTTGTAGGGGTTCTTCTTAGAAGAAAAAAATATTTAAAGTGAGATAGAAGTGAGTCAGGTGAAGAGGGATAAGAGGAAGGAGAGCATTCCATGCAAAAAGTATCTGCAAAAATCCCTGAAGAAAAAAAGAATGGCATCTTCAGGGAATTGGAAGATTACTGTTGCTGGAGCTAAGTAAGCAGAGAACGATTGAAGATTTGGGGTTGAAGCTTAAGGCAAAAAGATACTTCAGTTTAAGGCAGGATACCAAAAAGGTTATAGTTGTATTTTTTAAAGATGACTCTAAACGCAAAGAAATTAGTGGAGGGAAGAGTGAATACAAGAGACAGTCGAGAGCTATCACAGAGGTGTAGATAAAGATGACAGCAGCATAAATACATGTACTGAACCTGAGAATGGAAAGAGATGTATAGTTTGAAAGATACTTAGGGAGCAGAAAAGACAGAATTTGATGATAGATTAGATTCATGACAGTTGAGGAAGTAGGTCAAGGAGTTTGCCTAACTACTTTGCTTGACCTTTTTCGTAGACAAATAATGTGACTCTTTTGAGGGGAAGAACAACAAAAAGCCAACAGAAAATGATGATAAGCCCGTAGGCCACTGCTGCCAACTGTCATGCATGAAAGAGCTTAAACTTGCACAATCTATGCAGTTTGTTCTTTTCAACCAATGTGTGAAACTTGGCTATGACTTCAGAAAAATGAAGCAGTTGAATTCTACATTTTAAATCTTCTGATAAATATTCATGTTGCTAGGAGTATATACACTTATAACATTTGTAAGCAGGGAAAATCAACATTTTCTACAACATTCCATCAAATCTTAAGTAATCCCAGGGTACCAAGTAAAATTTTCCAGTATGCTACAGCAGTAAAGAATTATAATTGAAATCTACAAGTCTTAGAAGAGGACATTCCCTACTGTTCATGGATAAGTCACCATTTCCTAACTGATGCCATCACCAAAAAGGTAGGTATCTGTTTTTAGAGAAACAGTTGAATAAGTTATGCCAGTGACTTCTTTATCTTAAATCATTAAGGATAAACTCAGTTACTCAGAGAAAGAAAAATTGGCATTTTTCTCTTCTAGAGACCATCAAATTCCTATATTCTCTATAGCCTATCTCTATGGAGTCCTCAAATAATGCTAAACTAAATGGGACTTCTTTGGTTTCTATTATGCCAGAAAGATAAAAGTAAAAAATTTTAAAAAGCAAAAAAAAATTCGTACAATCTTTATACTAGTATGAGATTGAACCAATCTTACATGTTATAACAGTCTGAGTATAAAGAACAGATGGGATTAGAATATTAAATAAAATACCCTGAAGGCCTATAGGCTTTCTCTGTGCTTTAAAATAAATTAAAAAGTATCTCATTAATAAGACCAAAAGTCAAACTGATATTGTTAATTCCTTTGTCACAAGTAGTAGTATGAAGTGAAAATAAACACTGAATCTCCTAAGAATCCAAATGCACAGAAAGGCATTAGTACCCCAATGATACTTCTAGATCAGTGACTGCAACTCAAAGGAAAAAATCATTTTATTTAATGACCAAATACACAAACATACACACATTCACACATATATAGCTAAAACAATATTTACTCTTACCATTTGAGATGCATTGTGAAATTTTCTGCTGTTCATTAATTTTAAAAAAATGCTGGCCACAACTTAGTAAATAAATTTTGCAAACATGAATGTTATAACATATAACTTGTCTAAGGCATTATCAATGCTAACTTGTAGGGAAACTTATAGTTTTCTTCCTTATAATTAGCCCACGAGAGTATTCTAGTATTCAGAGAAAACAAAAATTAACAGCCTTATTACTATGTATCCAGCTCAGACACAGTGCATGCTTTCAGTGTGTTTTAAATCACCTACCTTCCTAGGTCCAAGAGCTGAAGGAAGGACTGGCAACTGTGTAACAGACTCCAACATGTGTACTGCACATTTTATATAAGTCCTTTTTATGTACATTATCTCATTTGATCCTCACAACAACCCTGTGAGGTAGGCAGGGAAAATACTATCAGATTTACTTTACAGATGAAGTTAGGGTTCAGAGAGGTTCAGTGACTTTCCCAGTTACTGAATATCTCATAAGAGACAGAGTAAGAACTTATTAACTTTAAGGCCAAGGGCTCTTTTCTCTAAACCACATAACCTCTGAGAGTATGATCTGACCTCAAATATTTTTACCACTTCAATTTCATTTTCTTTTTCTTAGTGTTGACTTAATACAACAAAAGACCTGATTCTAAACTTATCATGCCAAGTTTATGCTCCTTTACCAATGAAAACTGTGGCCACAGGACATAAGTTCTTTTGGAAAGTACTGTTTTCTTAGCTCTAAAGGAACATAAGCAACATGAAAGCCATAAAGGCCAAGGGAACTTCATGAAGAGAAATCAGAGAAAAGGCTATACAGTGGAGTGTATTAATGAATTTTAGTCCCTTTAAGCTTCTAGTTTTGTGAGAAAGTTCAATGGAGAGCTTTAATGCAGCTGAGACTTGAGGCTTTTGAAGAGGATCTAAGTCTTGATGAAGTTATTCAAACTCAAATCTTGAATGCGTAATGATGGTAGGCCCCAGGGTCTTCAAAAACTTGTACTTGATGCTTTAAAACAAAACACAAAAAAAATTCTACTAGCAAGTCTAGTAAATTTTTTTAAATGGGTTTTGAAAAGCTTTAACTCTTCGACAAGTAATTAATCAGATCACTAGATAACATGTTGAAAGAACAAAAAAAGAAAACCAAAATGAAATAAAGAAAAAAAGAAAAGAGATTTAAAGGGATATAGTGTACAGAATGGCTAAATGTTTCTGGATTATCTCTTTGATTAATATTCTTCACTTCAAATTACAACAGAATTTATAGAATCACCTTGGTCTGTGATCAGATAAACTGATTTAATGATAATTTCCTGAATCTCTTTGATCACTATCCAGGATATCTGATTTGTCTTAAAGGACTTTTGATCTTTGAAAGGATGACCAAAATATTTGTTGGAAGAGAGAATAAAATGAAGCTGATTTTATGTGATAGAGGGAGAAACTGAACTCAGAACATTATGGTTTGAAAATATTTAAGCAGAGAGAAAAAGTAACAAAGTCTTAGAATGAAAAAATTCAGACCACTTAGCAGGTTCAAATAAAAATACTAGTAAACCAAACTTCACCACTCAAACTTGTTTCTTTTTGTGTTCCTATAAACCTGCCTTTTTATTCAAGAAAACTTTAACCTTTTAAAATGTAATCATAGCAGCTAATATTTACTGAGTCTATACTTTGTGCAAGGCACTGCTCTAACCACTTTATGTAGATTCATTCATTTAATCCTCACAATAATCCCATGAATTAGATACTATAATTACCCCCAATTTACAGATGAAGAAAGTAAGGCAGAGAGAAGTTAAAAAATTCATCTAGTTTACCTAGCTAGTAAATAGTAGAGCTAGGACACCGACCTACAACCAATACTCTACAAAACTAGTTTTAATACAACAAAATTTAATGGACTAAGGCTTTCTTCAAATCAACACTGTGCCATATCACAATCTTTCACTGCATATTCTGATTACAAAGTATCGTGGCTAATTTAAGTTTCCTAACAGACTAATGTAGAATCAGTTTCAGCAGTCACGACTCAGAAGTGACATCTTCCAAGAATGTTAAAACAGTTTAAAAATAAAGCATGCTAGTAAAATATAAACAGTAGTAGAGAAGTACAGTTGGTTTTACTCCTTTTTGTGTGTAGTTTTATGTGTGTGTACACACACACACAGGCATACCTCATGTTATGAATTTCTCTTTACTGTCCTTTGCAGATAGTATGTTTTATACAAATTGAAAGTTTGTGGCAATCTTGCATCAAGCAAGTCTTTCACAACATTTTTTCAATATCTCTGAGTCACATTTCGGTATTTCTTGCAATATTTCAAACTTTCATTACTATTATATTTGTTATGGTGATCTGTGATCAGTGATTTTTGATGCTACTATTGTAATTGTTTTGAGGTACCATGAACCATACCCAGATAAGACAGTGAGGTTAATAAATGAAGTGTATGTTCTAACTGCTCCACTGACTGGCCATTCTGCCATCACTCACCCTCTCTTTGGCCTCCCTGTTCCCTGAGACACAACAATATTGACATTTGGCCAATTAATAACCCTACAATGGCCTCTAAATATTCAAGTAAAAGGAAAAGACACATGTCTCACTTTAAATTAAAAGCTGGAAATGATTAAGCTTGGTGAGGAAGGCACATCAAAAGCCAAAACAGGCAGAAAGCTAGGTGTCTTGCCCCAAGTAATTAGCCAAGTTGTGAGTGCAAAGGGAAAGTTCTTGAAGGAAATTCAAAGTGCTTCTTCAGTGAACACATGAATGATAAAAAAAAGCCTTATTGTTGATATCAAAAAAGTTTTAGTGATCTTGTACAAAAGTTCAAAATAGCCACAATATTCCCTTACGACAAAGTTTAGCCCAGACCAAGGCCCTAACTTTCTTCAATTCCATGAAGGCTGAGAGAGGTGAGGAAGCTGCAGAAGAAAAGTCTATGCTAGCAGAGGTTTGGTTCATGAGATTTAAGGAAAGGAGCCATCTCTGTAACATAAAAGTGCAGGTGAAGTAGCAAGTGCTGATACAGAAGTTGCAGCAAGTTATCCAGAAGATCGAGATAACATGAGTAATGAATGTGGCTACACAAAACAACAGACTTTCAGTGTAAAAGAATCAGCCTCTATCTTCTTAGAAGAAGATGCCATATAGAACTTTCATAGCTAGACAGAAGTCAATGCCTGGCTTCAAAGTACAGAAGGATTCACATTAGGGACTCATGTAGCTGGGGAATGAAGCCAGTGCTCATTTACCATTCTGAAAATCCCAGAGCCATTCAGAATTATGCCAAATCTACTCTGCATGTGCTCTATAAATCAAACAAGAACGCCTGGATGACAGCACATCTGTTTACAACATGGCTTACTAAATATTTTTAGTCCACTGTTGTGACTTACTGCTCAGAAAAAAAGATTCCTTTCAAAATATTACTGCTCACTGATACCTAGTCACCCAAGAGCTCTGATGGAGATATACATGCCTGCTAACACAACATCCATTCTGTAACCCATGGACCAAGAAGTCATTTTGACTTTCAAGTCTTATGATTTAATAAATATATTTGGTAAGGCTACACTGTCTAGATAGTAATTCCTTTGATGGATCCGGGCAAAATAAATTGAAAACCTTCTGGAAAGGATTCACCATTCTAGATGCCATTAAAAATATTCATGATTCATGGGAAGAGGTCAAAATATCAGTATTAGCATGAGTTTGGAGGAAATTGATCCCAGCCCTCATGGATGACTTTTGCATGCTTCAAGACTTCACTGAAGGAAGTAACTGCAAACGTGGTAGTAAGAGCAAGAGAACAAGAATCAGAAGTGGTGCCTGAAGATGTGACTGAAATACTGCAATCTTGTGATAAATCTTGAATGGATGAGGAGCTGCTTCTTATGAATAAGCAAAGGAAGTGGTTTCTTTAAGATGGAATCTACTGGTGAAGATGTTGTGAAGACTGTTGAAATGAGAACAAAGGATTTAGAATATTAAACTTACTTGAAAAGTGGTGGCAGGGTTTGACAGAACTGACTCTAATTTTGAAAGAAATTCCACTGTGGGAAAATGTTATCAAACAGCATCCTATGCTACAGAGAAATTGTTCATGAAAGGAAGAGTCAATTGATGGGACAAATTTCATTGTTGTCTTATTTTAAGAAATTGCCACAGCCACCCCATCTTTCAGCAACCACCACCCTCAGCAGTCAACAGCCATCAACACTGAGGCAAGACCCTCCACCAGCAAGATTATGACCTACTGAAAGCGCAGATGATGGTTAGTGTTTTTTAGCAATAAAGTACTTTTTAGTTTAATTAAGGTATGTACACTGATTTTTTAGACAATACAATTACACACTTCATATACACATTTTACAATATAGTGTAAACATAAGTTTTACGTGCTCTGGGAAACCAAAAAATTCATTTTACTTGTTTTATTGCAATTTTCACTTTATCATCATAGACTGGAACTGAACCCACAATATCTCCAAGATATGCCTGTATTCTATATCCTAATTTTTTGTACAGTGGGCATGGATTACTTGCACAATTTTTTAAAAGTTTTTCTAGTATGCCATCACCATTATTAGTATTAATATATACTAAATTACTATATATATATTAAACTTATGCTAAAGTTACTAGGTAAGTTTGTTATGGTTCTATCTGAAGAGAAAACTTTCAATGGAGGGTAAGCTTTATGATAAATAATAACTATTACTTACTTAGCACTTAATCTAGGCAAACCTTTTACATACATTACCTTTACTCTTCAGTAAATTCCTATTTTACATATGAAAAGATTGAGGCTTTGAAAGAATAAACTTAATTAATAGAACAGCTAGTAGATATTGGAGCCCAGAATCCAACCTGTCTTCACTAGAGCGCACACTCTTTCCATTATATTGTAGCCTTGCCTAATGCCAAAGAACTGTCTTTTGGTAGTAAACACACTGAAAAATCTAAAATTCATATATTCTTCTTAAATAGAAAATATTGAACAGAAACTAAGTTCAGTCAAGATTATCATTTTGAACATCTATTAACATAGAGCTGTCTTCATCTAATCAAAAGAGCCCAGGTGGCTACAATCTTAAAATTAGTTGGTATGCTTTCTGACTTTCCTTGTCCCTGCTTGTCAATGTGCCTGCCTTTAATAGGAATATTCAGCTGCTCACAATTTGCTGCTTCTAATATACTGTGAAGTTAGATACCAATTGATTAAGCCTATTGGAACTATGTCTTAAAAAAGTTAAATAAACTGAGTAAGGACCTGAGAAAAACATGGATTTTTTGTCTTATAGTTTGGGAGCTCAGATAATTAAACTTACTTCCTGTTATGGATAAGTTGAGATCAGTGGATAAATGACCAGTAGATAAGTAGATATCTTCCTGTCAGCATTCAAATACCGGGATAATAGAACATATACTCTTACTACAGTAAATGACTTTATTGCACTATAAAAAAAAAATAAGGGTTTGAAAGAGAATGTACCCACATGATGAGAAATCCCCTCCACAAAATTCCTCATGTTCAAACTCTATCAAGCAACCCTAATGAATAGAGGAGTTCACTGCCTACCAGCACAATCTGCCCCCCACTGTTGACCAGTTCCATACCTTCTCTAACTAAGAACTAATTTTGGCTTCAAATAACAGAACAAGAGTACTACCTATGGAGTTTCTCCAACTCTTCCAAAGTCTTCCGTTTTCTGAAAAAGCAGTCCCAGTCCCTTCAATCTAGGTCATCACAGTTGTCCTTTCATATAACCACAAAATTGATTAAAGATAATTCTCTTGTTCTTCATGGCATATCTAATAATAAAATCAGTTTTTGTATATTAATGTTTTGTAGGTTAATGGATCTAGTTAATTCACTTTGGTTATACACAATGCTAGGAAAGCCTTACAGACAGCTCAAATTTAGACTGAATAGCAATAAATTTTTGAGATTCTCCTTTCTTTTCCTCCTGCCCAAAACAATACCACAAAACAGAGTCTTAAAAGATACACTAACCATAATCTTTTATGTTACTAGATTCTAATCTTTTCATTCTCAGGCTTTTGCCTACCTTCCCATCACTTGAACCCTGTAAAGGATCTTAGAACATCCAAAGTTCTTTAAGCTGCTTTCAGAATCATGACTTAGCCCATGACAGGCCCTGAGGCCTTGAAATTCTGACTTTTTTTTCTTTTGCACTAACCGGATATCTTCCTGTCTGGAATTTTTGGTTTTCCAGAAAATTTTATATATATCTGTAAAATAATATATATACATTTTATATGTGTGTGTGTGTGTGTATGTAATGTATTATATATCTACTTGCATAGACATACACACACATACATGTACCTTCCCCAATTCTATGTCATCTACATGTGACTTTCATGAACATGTTTATCTCCCTTCTATGTTACCTTTACCATATTTATCTTGACTTAGGGAAACACAATCTACCCTTGATTTTAGTTCATTGCTATCCATTCTCTCAGCAAGAATGAGTCCTGCTCTATGCATCTTGCCCAATGATTTACCCCTTGTGGCTAGTACCTCTTTCCAAGTATCTTAAGAAGCAAAGCATCATTTAACAGAAATGATTATGTGCCAACATATGGTATATAACAACTGATATACCATAACATGCTCTATTCCACTAATCATGACTCAGCCCCCATATTAGTGGACTTCATTTTGACTTTAACAAGAAACATGATCAGTGGTATCATACAGATATGTACCTTCTATAGCCTATTTTCAAGCAAGTGTCAAAGAAAATCTCTCTACTCATAAAATGAAGATTATCATATCTTTACATTTCTTGTATAACTCATTTAAATCACTGTTACTGTTATTACAAATTACACACAATGAAAGTGTGGAAAGATAAAGATGGCAAGTAAAAACCATCAGAAATTTTTGCTGAGTTCCAAGTCAAATAATCAGCCAATTCAAAGTAGTATTCTCACTACACGATAAGATTATCCATGTGTATCTAAAGGATCTTGCTAGTTTACTGACTTTACTTACACAGAGAACAAGCCACTCTTTGACTTGTTCTAAACAACAAAAACAAAGTGAAATAATAACTAATATTTGTTTAAAAAGTGGAATCCCTAAGTAGCAATTCGAATAAAACAAAGTCCATCCCATTCAGTGATACTGAGAGGCTCAAAAGAACCGTGCTAGTGCAATGCATACCTGGCTTGCAAACAAAGGTAACAACATCCCTACCACCTGCTAAGATCAGCAAGATGCTATAAATTGTGAGTACTGAATCCAGCAGGGCGAAGCATTTAGTTTACTTGCAAATCCTTATTAAAAGTAATAATCTAATGTCAAAGTTAAAAACCTCTTATAGTATCACCAAACCTTCCATGCGGCTTTGAAAAAACTTAATTCAATTGTGTAACCCCATTTCTTCCAAATAGGACAAATAATTATGAGGACAAAAGCCATAAGGAATAGTAATAGGCTCCCATAATTATTAAACTAGTCTAAAGCCTTGCTGTTTCTTAGTATTATAAAGATAAAAACATGTTCATAGTAAAAAATTCAACCTACCAGGAAGAGTATACAGAAAATATATGAGTTTTCTTCCTACTCCGGATCTCTAGTTTCATTTTCCAGGAATACCTCTGTCAAGAGCTCCTTATATAGATTTGAAGGAATTTTGCATGTATATATTATACTATAAAATACAAATGAAAACATTATACAAACAGTTCTATATTCTTTTTCTCAATTAACAATGTATCTTAGGGATTCTTCCACATCTCCAAGTATGGATCTGCTTCATTCTTTCTAAGAACTGCAAGGTACTACATTATATGAAGGAATTTATTCAACCAGACCACTGATGAGGTATATTTAGGTTATTTCTAGTTTTCTTTTTTATTTCAAGTAATATGGTGATGAATATCTTTTTATAAAATTTTATGTGCAGGCACAAATAAGCCTGAAAGATGAATTCTTAGAAGTATTGCCTGGTTTTAGAACTGAACAAATTCTAAACAAGAAGCCAGAGTATCTACAAGGGAGACTAGGAAAAACTAAATATAATGCTTAGTGATTAAAAGGTGCTAAATATTATCACAAACTTAGAATTTAAAAACTCCAAAACTAGGAAATAAAATAGAAAAAAAGAGGAACTTTACCCCCTGAGGAATGAATCACCTAAGAAGTTTTTAAAAAGATGAAGAAGAAAAAAGGAGAAAAAAAAAGAAAAAGGAAAGGAAAGTAGCACAAATAAACAGTACAAAAGTTTTTAAAAAGACATTTAGGGGCCTCTTTTCTTACTTTAACCTAAGGCATAAAGTAAAACTGGCCAGAAGATTTAGGGCACCTACTATGACAGAGCCAAACTAGAATGTGAGATGATTTAAGTGACTATTTAAGGCCCCAATTCCTACAGGATATCGACAGGTTGACGTAGTCTACCAGGCTCTAAGGTGTTGAAAGGAGAGCTCCCCCAAAAAGAAAGCAGAGCAGTAATCTTCCAGGAATAGTATATCTTATTGATCTCTTTAGTTTCTCATCAATTTTACTGCGTAAAATATTACTCATATACACAAAACAAACCTCTCTTCAGAAGGTCCAAATTAACATAACTTAAAGAGATTCAGTCTGTATTTTTTAATGACAATCCTACAGTTTCCTAGACTGATCCAGGGCTGTTCCATTTCTCATCTAACATAAAACACAGTCAACAACTTACCTTTCCCAAAGTGTTAGGATCTGAATGCCACAACACAAATTGTTTCATGTTTTGGTCCATTGATGGTCCGTGGATTTCTTTAAATGAAGTCCATGTTAGAGTCCATAGATATCAGCATTCTGCAAAACTGAAAACCTCAAGAATGTCAATGCACATACCTAAGTTACCACTTGGATACCAACTTACTATGAATAATAATAGAATAGTTATTATGAATATAGACATTAAGATGTGCAAAATTAGTGGACACAACATTGAACAGAAGATTGAAGTAGCAAAATTAGACTTTTTAATTTTTAAGACAACATAAATCTATAGGATCTCAAAACATTACTTTGTACCATATTTATGTGTATTCTAAAGGTGGCACCACAGCAAGAGCACAAAAAGATGGGGATGATTTGGATACCAACACTTTCCAGAAATTAGGTAAACAAGTTTTAATAGTAAGCAAACTTTTAAGATTTAAATGACTGTGATAATGTATTTACATATCTACTTTTGTGTTTTTTTAACCTATTTTTAAGAACACCTTAGGTTTTTAAATTTAAAATGCATACTAGTTTCTTCTTTGTAAAACAAGAAGCCATAAATTCAGTTTTTCCTGCTCCATTAAATCCAATCTCAGATTTCAGAACCTCTTAGGAGCTACGACCTCGTTACCTCGTTAGACAGCACGAAGCCCATACACACAATCACCTCACAGGGACTCCATCTAGAGAGTGACTCATGCTCAGATCCATTACAAGGCCAATGTGTAGTCTGTACTTTTTCCCACTTGACAACCAGAAACAACTGGGTTACTGCACTTGTTCTTTAGGTCTGTGCCCACTCTTCATCATCATATTTAAGACATCTAAGCAAATACTTTACAAAAAGAAACAATTAAATCTTGAGCTTCCTACAACTATTTGGACGGAGTTAACATTATGTAAACACACCGGGTGAAACCTCTGACTGGATTTTTACAAATCACTACTTTCATTTTTCTTATGAAATAATTCGCATTTACATCTCAAATGTAAGAAATGCGCCAACATAAGAAAGAAACCATTAGGAAAAAGGGTAGTAAATTCACACTGGTAAACAAGAAAGCACTTAGAACATGGATTGGAAGCTCAATGCTACAACTGCAGCTATCATCTATCTGATGGCCAAGTTCTCCCTGGTATCATTCACCCGTAGGATCTTCCCAGAAAAGTAAAAGAATATGAAAGCCGAATTAATTGCCTCATCTTATCCACCCACAGCAGAGAAACATATTAACACACACTTCTAAATATCAATAACCACAAAACAACAACAAGATCCTGAATCTCTACCGCACCAACATCCTCATAAACTACTGGTTTCACGTCTACATTAAGGGATAGGGATCCTGAAGTTCGGGAGTTCTCCCAGTTGAGCCAGACTGAGGTTCGTGCATACATTAATCCATTACTTCTACAGCATCTAAAGAATGCCTAATAGTGGCAACGCACTGTCCTGACTTGAGAGATGAAAAAACAAAGTCCCTGTCCCCTACTAGCAGAATAGAGGTAGGGGTCGAGGTAGGCGGGAAATGGACTCTTGGTCAGCTCATATCAGTGCCCAAGCTCCGTCTCTCCACCCCCGAGTGCCAGTACTCGGAGCCCAAGACCCCAATCACGACGGATTCACGGAAGACGCAATCTGACGGTATTTCCGCGACGATCTCGGCCCTCACGACCTCGTTCCCAAAGTTCCTCGTATCCTTATCTCCCCAGGGAGTCCCACGCCAAGGAGCTTTTCCTCCAGCCACCATCTAATTGAAGATCTACCTTTCCCCGCCCGAGTTTGGGGCCCCGAACAACGTGGACCACCAACCCCGATTTCCACCCTTACACCGGTCTAGGTTCGGCCCTCAGGTTACCTGCCGGGATCCGGGGTTCCAGCAGGACCACCTTAGCCCCGCCCCGCCCCGCCCATCGCGACGCCCTCTACAACCAGGTACTGCCTCCGGGGCGTAACTTCCTGTGCGTCACGTCCTGTCGGACTTCGGCCCAGCAGTCCAGCTTAACCCCCAACCTCCTAGTTGTCACTTCCGACCTGTTCCTCGGTCTCCCCGGCTCTAGGCGCTGTCCAAATCTTGTTTATCCTATTCTTTTTCGCCTGCTTCCTTAAACTGCGGTTCTGTGGTCCAGCCCGCAGAAGTGCAGTTTTTGTTTTTACAACTTCTTTGCCATATTCTACAACCTTTTCTGCTGCAGTCATTTCCCTCTGCGTCCTCTGTACCAGACTCATCACTGTTCTCTAAACTCGTCAGCTAGAGGAACCACAAGATTATTCTTGTGATTTTTCTCATTTTCTCTGCCCCGTGGAGTGCTTGGAGTGCAGGCTCTGAGGTTGTGTTCCCCAAGTTTGTATGCTGCCTCTCACATGCAACAGTATTAATTAGACAAGCTGCTTAACTTCTCTGGCCCATTTTCTCATGTGTGAAACTTAATACTAGTACCTAGAAATAGGGTTGATTTGTGTGTATTATTTGAGATAATAGGAAAGCGCTGGCATATGAAAGCATTCAATGAATGTTAATTATTACAAGTGCTCTCTTGTTCCCTTTTGGAACATAGAAGTGGTTAGGAAAGCTGGAACCAGTTTTCCTGTTATCCTTTATATCCTCAGCTTTTAATTACATAATTAATGATGCTTGGTACCATCCCCCTCTGAATTGTGACGTCCTCCAAACAAAGATGGAATCTTGTATAGGACACAACTTCAACCCTACTTGATATCACCTGCTTGGTAATTGCTAGATACTGGGAGAAAGACGAATAAGACCCAGGCCCACCCTTAACACCATGGAGATACTTAGTAAATTATTATGCAAGTGTAGCATAGGTGATCCTCTGAAACTTAGCCAAAGTAGAACCATATTGTTTAAAAATGCCATTTTAGAGCACATTGCTGGGCTGCATTTCTGGACTGCAGTTCCAGGAAAAAGGAGGAGCTCCCTGTTCTCCTAATGGCAAAGCACAAGGAATGTAGAGCTGTTTGTGTCTAAAGGAAAAATCAAGATAAGAGGAAGGAATTCCACTCTTACCCGCTCTCCTGCACTTAATACCCCTCCCATACCTTGATAAAATGATAAAAGCTAGCCTACTGAGTCGGGTTGGCGAGTTGGGTAGTGTAGCTGTCCAAATGTCATGCACCCCTCCATGAGTAACCCCTGAATAAAACTCATTTACTCGCTAAGCTGAACTTGTCTGAGGCAGTTCTTTGGCCTGTTGGGTTCACTCACAATTTGGGGGAAGATGTTTCCAGGAAATCCTCCTAACAAGGAGGAAGAAAGTCAACCAAGGAAAAAACCAAGCAGATCAACAGGGCCAAGGATTTATTCTTCAAACCAGTTATGGATTGCCAGAACTGAAAGGAACTTCAGAGAATGCTCAGTTAACCTCTTGATGTTACAAGTAAGGAAAATTACAACTAAAAGTCACACATTTAGTGGCAGGGCTAGGACCAGAAGTGGAATCCTAAGATGCTCACCACTTCCCTCCTTTTCCCAAATCTGCCTCAAAGTGTCAATAAGGTAAAACGAGATTCACTTTCAAGTTCTTCACTGTCAAGTGAAAGGACTAGAAAAATCGCAGTGCAAGAGAGACAGGAGCAATGCAACCTAGCAGGTGCCACAGGATTCTGACCATCATTTGAATGTTCTGGTCTAGTTACTGCTGGGTTCATTTCAAACACTGTGGCCCCCTCTCCCCCTGACAAAATTCTTATATATACCCAGAAATGAGGGGTTAAGTATCAGGTATGTGAGCTCTACTTCCCGTTTTTACTATCTAGATAGGAATAAGGAAATGATCAAAGCAGTTTCCAGAGGTAAACATAAAGACTTTGGAAATGCACTGCCAGTGATGTGGCACAATTTTATTTAGTCTTCTCTGTTGGAAGCAATTTCTCTTAAATATTCAAATCTTTGTTTTAGGAATATGACAAATCTGGTATAGTCATTATTATTGAAATCTGGTAATGAGTGTGTTTCAACTAACTAGGTAATCCTATAGAGCCATTGAATAATGTAATTGGTATAAATGAAATTTAAGTTTTGTTCCAACTCTATCATTTAAAAAGGCCAATGATATTTGTAATCAATCTGTGGACCATAGTAATTAAATAATCTGCTGAAAGTCACAGTTAGTCAGCAGCAGTCAATTCTAGAATCTAAGCCTCCTAATTCCACTTAGTCATTCATGCAGAAGAGACACCTGGCCAGGCATTAGGGATATGAAGATGAATAAAGGGCAGCACATCTTTGCTTCTTCCACAAAGTACAGCAGAAACTAGATTAAGCAAAGGGGATGAATTGGCTTCTTTAAGTGGACTGTTATGACAGGCATCAGGATTGGTTGCTCTAGCACCTCAATGATCATGTGGGACCCATATTTCTTACCCTCTTTGCTGCCTTCATAGCATCTACTTGAGCTTATAGCCAGCTTCCCTCAGGGTGGAAAAATGGGTGCAGCATTCATCTCACATCTACACGCTGTGCACACTCTCGAGGAGATGGACACACATTCAGTAATTCCAAGGTGATTCTTAGGCTAGAAAAGGGAAAAATATACCTAAATTTCTGGGCTGGACACTATACTATCTACAGTTTTTACCTTTCAACTTTATATAGGTAGTCACCATTAAATGTCATTCTGTAGTCACCATTAAATGTCATTCTGTCACAAATTTACCCTAGAATTCTGTATCAGGATAGGCAGGGTCATACTGCAGTAAATTTAAAAAATCCCCAAACCTGAATGTCTTTAAATGGCACAGATTAATTTCTTACTTATGTTACAAGATGACTCTGGGTCTGCAGAAGGGCTCAATCATTGCAGTCACTCAGGAACCTAGGCTGACTGAGCAACCACTGTCTTGAACATTGCCTGTAGCCAAGCCAAAGGAAAAACGAATCTGGTGAAGAACCATTAAATTAATGCTCCCATAACTTCTCACTTTTTATTGGCCACAGTAATGTCACATGTCCTCACTTATTTCAAGAGGATGGGGAAGTGCAACCTTATCATGGATGAGAAGGGGTGAAAACTAGAATATCTGTGAAAAGCCCTGAAGACTGTTACAAAGCCAAAACTATCTTTCAGTCTCATTGACACAAACTCATCTAGACTCCAACTACACCAATTTGTGAGTAAAGGATAAAGCAGCAGGAAAATTCCTTGACAGTTTATCTCATTTAATTCTGTTACAGCATTAGCAACTATAAATGTATATATGAAATTTTTCTGACATTATTAGTTACTCAATTTGGATAATAATATAGTTCCAGGCACAATCAAGTCAAGAAGAATACAGTGAACTACCTAAAGTTTCTGTCATAAGAGTTTCTTCGCCAAGGCTGTGCATTAAAACTCCCTGGGGAGCTTTTTAAAACTGCTGAGTCCATCCAGAATCACAGTCTTCTAAAGTGAGTGCCACATATGTGTATTTTCAAAATACATGATTCTTCCTTCTCCTGCCTCAGTTAAGATCCACTCTTCTATAATACTATGAAGTGAGCAATCTGAGAACACGTACCATTCTGTTTTTGCTCACACTGCATTAGCAGTGCCTACCACACAAACTGCTCAATAAAAATATGGTTGGTCAGATATATTCTTAAAACATAGTTATCAAATAACCACATCATATCCACAAAGATTCCATTACCTAACCTTGTTTAATCTCTCTAGGAATCTCAATACAACATTTTTCGAGCCTTCCAATGTATTAATCCTCTCTAAAACTGATATTAAATTTATTTGGCACATCTTGTTCTTAGTGAACACAGTATATCTTTGATGATCACAAGCCATAACCTTAGTGAATTATTCTAAAATAATTAGGTATCTAAAATTCATAAAGTATTGATTAAAACTCACCAGTCTACAACATCTTTTATCCTTTGCCTATTCAAATATCAAAACATTTGTCCATCCTTAGTCTTTTGGCCTCTTTCCTTTTTCTTGAAATTTCTCAAGACTTTAATCATGTCAGCCAATTCTCCACGCTTAAAATCAAGGCATTTTGGTAAGGAAACCTATAAATAACAGTTGCTACAACATTTGATGATCTGTTAATGGAGGCATGAGTTGTGCCAAACTGTTTTAATTTGGCCTTAACAGTGCATGGTGTATTAGTTTGCATACTGTTTGCTATTCAAAGCAGATAGAAATATAATCCTAGAAGAAATATATAATTCAATTAAATTCATTTAAAAGGAACATAATATTAAAGATGGCTAATAATATGACTATTTTTACCTAGTGCTTTCCATAAGCCAGGCAAGTTCTAAATGTGTAATCACTTAAAAAGGAAGAAGGTGACAAAGAAAGACGCAATATAACTCATACTGAAGAACAACTAACCTCATAATTAAAATAAATGGACAACAAGAATTGACAAGGATTTGGAGAAATGTGAAAAGTCATATATTGCTGTTGGAAATGTCAAGTGGTACAGCCACTTTGGAGAACAGTTTGGGGGTTCCTCAAAAAGTTAAACATGGAACTACCATATATCCAAGCAACTCTAATCCTAGGTTTTTTAATTCTACTCCAAGAATTAAAAACAGTTTACACAAAAAGTTCATAGCATTATTCATAACAGCCAAAAATTGGAAACAATCTTAGTATACATGAATTGATGAATGGATAAACAAAATGTGGTATACAATGAACTGTTATTCAGCAATAAAAAAGAACGATGTACTGACACATGCTACATCTTAAAAACATTACTTTAAGTGAAAGAAACCAGACACAAAAATCCACATATTATGTGGTTCCATTTTTATGAAATATCCAGAAAAGGCAAATCCATTGATACAGATTAGTGTCTCTATTCAAGGAGAACCATGGGATAAGGAAAAAGGGGAATGTTAAGTCACTGCTTAATGGGTACAGGGATTATTTTGGGTGTTCTGGGTTTTGTGAGTCATGATAGTGTACAACCTTGTGAATAAACTAACAATCACTGAATTATACACTTTAAAAGGGTGAATTTATGGTGTGTGAGTTATACCTCATTAAGAAAAAGTATCTTTAAAAAATGAGCATGTCAGTTGAAATTTAAAAGGAAAAAAATATATTTATGGGTAAGGAAAAAAAATAGCAAACATGAGTTAAACATGAATATGACCTGATTGATGACAGGTGCAGAATACAGAGAATAGATGCTAATTAAAAGGGTCATGACAAATCTGAAGAGTGTCCAGGACAACCAACAAAATTAGGAAACAAGAAATACCTTATCATATGAAAAACAGTAGTACCTGAGAAAAAGCCTAAAAAGAGAAGGCTTAGCACAGACTTGTTGGCATCTTTAATTATTTGATGAAAGACTGTACTAGTAAGGGGAGCCTTATAATTTAACAAAAGTAGAATCAGGGGATGATCACTCCTGAGAAAAAATGTGGAATAGGGGAGTGTAAAGTCCTGGGAAATAGGGCAAATTTTTTTGATTAAGCAGAACCATCTATCCTGAAGAGTACTGAGCTCTCCTCAGTGGAAGCATTCAAAGGGAGGTGGGTAGTCTTGTGCTATGAATGTTATTGAGGTGTTCCTATATTAGAAGAAATATTAGACCAAATAGCCTAGGACATCTCTCAAATTTATGTCTATGTAGCTTCTTACTAAGTAGTGCCTTTGTCAGAAAAGCTGAAAAGGATTATCATTAGCAAATGGAATATTCTCTTTTCAGTAAAATAATATGGTAGGGAATTGGGAGAAAGATCAGGAGGTATAAAGGTGAACTGCGCCTAATTGCACTTTCAACACAAAGTAAAATTGAATGCTAGGATATGTCAGAGATGTCACAAAAAGTTTTTATGCTGTTGAGTAAGGACACTTCATGTATAATTTTCAGTTCAAAGGCTGGCAGAGATGGCATACATAATGAAAAATTTTTGCAAACCTAAAGTGACAAGCAGAACTCACTGAAAAGCTGAGTGATTGAAATACGGGAGATAGGAGTGAATGGATTCTCAGTTAAATTTTTGGCTGCATTCAGCTTAGATTTGGCTGCCGCCTATGGGCATAATCTTTAAATATGCCCAGTAATATTTCATAGATCTCTGGCATTTCAACCAGCAAAGATAGTCAACATGTGACTGAGTCATTTCTGCCACAGTTGGGTCTTCTTTAGGAATCCTGATAGCTTATCTTCATCATCCAGATACTGAATATATGAGCGCACACCTGTGTGTGTATATGCGTTGTACTTCTAAGGCTCAACACTTGAGCAAGCCTCTTGAAATTATAGTAATTGTCTTTACTGATACTACTGGCATAGTGAAAAAACTACTTATATCCCATCTCTTATTTCAAACACTTATGTGAGCAGCTATTCTCCATAAATGTCAGCCAACTTCACTTGGAAGAGTGTATTAGCTGCCCATCTCTTCACTGTTTAGTTAGGACAGGTTAAAATTCTTTAACAAACAGATCCAAACTTCTTGCTTTCTCCAATAACAGTCCATGTTGTTTCTAGTCAGCAGGGCAGCCCTCTTACACAGGTTCATTTGGGAAGTCAAATTTCTATCTGTGGCTGTATCCTCCTTTGGGGCCTTGTGACCTTTTGTATCCCACAGTGAAATGGAAGAGAACATGTGACAGAGTCTATCAGTCCAGCTATTAAGCAATACTTTTCATTTGTTACAGAAAAACATGACTGGCCCAGAGAAGTCAGCTCTGATGGCTTCATGGCACTATTGAATGAAGTTGTACAAAGCACCAGATTTTAGGTAGTCATCTCTGCGTTTGCTGTGAGTACATATTTGCAAGTTCTATCACACAGAAGTTCTGTATTTGCTTTCTTTTAAGTTTTAACATACCACCTCTGATTGACTGATCTATTTTTGTGAATTGCAACGCAATAATGAAAATGACATTTACCAAAAAAAGCAGCAGCATATAAATGATATGGAAGTACATTAGCCAAGAGGAATGGTGATCCTGTTAAGTAGCACTTATTGAGACAAATTAAATTAGAAGGCATTTAAGAACATAATAATTCACACAATGATCAAAAGACTGTCAAGCAGTCAAGAGGTCTGTAAGCAGCAGCATGGTGGCACCTGCTAAATTGGCTCACCGCACTGCCATAGATTTGGTTCATAAGGAGCCCAAATAGATTTAGACAGTTTATTATTTACATGGACAGCAAAAGAAATATCAGCATGGTATCAGCTCCCTGCATCCCTAGTCCCACAGGATGACACCAAACAGGAGGGGCTAGATGACAGATCATGGAACCGTGGTCTATTGCCGGGGAGTAGGGCAGGGTAAGCACTTACGGGAAACTGAGAGTATCTTCTTAAATTTTGCCCACTAGTTGCCTCACTTGCTTACCCTAGTCCCTGCTGTGTTAGGTAGCCAACTCTAAACTGCTGTCAGTTTTATAAATTTACCCAGAAGTTTGCAGCTGTACTTCGGGGATTGGGGACACAAGGCAGAAAGTTCTGGGTTCAACTAAAACTAGGAAGATAGATGAGAAACAACATGTGGTTGATTCCTCCCAGATGGAGATGGGAAACTGCCTCTCCAACTTTCCCTTGCTTCAGAAGGAATTTCAAACCATCTGGAACTGCCAAGCCTTGCCTATGTGGCCTTGATGGAGACATCCAAAGTTGCTACAATGCCAGAGCAGAATTGTTCTCCTAGAGATGACTATCCGAAATTAGAAGACAAAGCTGAATTTATTGCTGCCTGTAGTAAGGGAAAGCTATGCTGGTCATGCATAGTCTCTCTAAACAGAGCAGAAGATTACACCAAGTTTTGGGGGCAAGGTACAGTGCAGGCATTGGCAAATTTTCAGAGGCATTAGAGATTGACGTCATCTGTAAGAAGCTGGTTGTGTTGACTGTTGGCACTCTAAGGCGTGTGCACTGGGCTGTTTGTGATTGGCCGGCTATTATAAGTCAGGGCTGTCCGTCACAGTTTGTCCTTGATGGATTGGGTACTTTAAGACTGCTACGTGTTTCCAGGGCTGGAAGGCAATCAATACTTCACTAGGGGTTGACAACTGTTTTTCTTTCCAAGAGGTAAAATAGTATCTATGAAATTATCCTTAAGAATTGCTAAAATTTGTGAAACATCAGTGAACAAAATCATTCCGTTGTTTTCTTCCTGTCAAACTTTCAGACTGCTTTCTGACCACGTGGTAGACCATGGGTACTACCAAAAGCCAATTGCACCTATGAAAACACTGTTCCAGTTTGAACTTTTGGAGAGAAGGGGCTGAGCCTCCCACATAATAGGTGCTCAGTTCATGAATGGATGGAATAGAAATAACAATCCTTAGGAATGACAGAAGAAAAAAGTTTTTTTCCTTTTCTTTTTTTGTACATACGAGATGATGGATGTTAACTAAACTTAATGCAGCAATCATTTCACGATTTACGTACTTCAAATTATGCTGTACACCTTAATCTTATATAATGGTGTATGTCAATTCTATCTCAATAAAACTGGAAAAACATTTTAAAAGAAAAATAAGAAATATTGGGCAGACAAACTCGTAGCTTTCACTGGGTTGCCGCCTGATATTAAGACAGGTAAAATGACTCTTATGTAAATATTTGGTTGATGTTGGCAGTATAGGCATTTAGGCGAAATGCATGATGGGTGTATATTACGTTTTCAAGTGTGTGCCGGGTCACTTGTCAAGGCCCCAGATGTCTCTCCCTGTTAAAGAAGGACATGAAGATAAAAACTGCTGAGGACAGCTCCACCAATTTAGTGACCGGGAACTTGCCCAGAGAAGGCAGCCCCTCTGGGCCAAAGGGTTAAAAACTTCAACTTCCTGGCAATTTCACCCACTTTCCATCGTTCTTCCTGATCTACTTTGTGACGGGAACCAATAAAGAAAGGGAGACAAGCGTCTGCAGGGCGCGGGGCTGGGTCTGGGGAAGGAGAAAGACTGGGTAGGAGGATGGGCGTCGGTGCCCGGGAGCCCCGGGCGGCAGAGGGCGGTGCCGGACTCACGTTGGCTGAGCGGGCGCCCCTCCTCCGGGGCGGGTCCGGCGGGAGGCGACTTCGGAAACATGGCCGAGTATACGAGGCTGCAGAACTGCCTGGCGCTGATCCGCCTCCGAAACCCGCCGGTCAACGCGATCAGGTAACGGACTCGGTGGCCTCAAGCCCAGGCACAGCGAGGCCTTAGCCGCGTCCCTTCTCTGGAGGCTCTGACTCTCCGCTGCTGGCGTAAACGGAGAAAGACTGGCACAGATCGCACAAAGATAGCGTGCCAGGGCCCTTAGCTTGGTTAACGTTCGCAGAGAACCCTCGTCCCAGTTCTAGTAAGGAAACTTAGTTCGAGAGGCAGTTTAAATTGGAGAGCTCGATTCGAGCCGGATCTGTCCATGCCAACTTCGTGCTGAACGCTTGCTCCCAACTTAGATTACTTAAATGTACTTTGTTTTACAAAGGTATGTGGCGGGCTGGACCTTGATCCCTCACTTCTCAACCTCGAGTCCAGGCCGCCCTTAGAATTGTGGCTAGCTTTAGGAATCAGTCAATAAAGTGGCTTCACATTTTTAAAAATTAATAAAAATCCTCATTGATGCCAGCGCAGTAAATAAAGGGGAATTGCCCCCTGGCCCAGATAATTTCTCCTAGTCTATTCTTAAGTGGAAGATCCATGTCAGAATAAGCCTATTAAATAGCATTACCTGAGAAATCACTGTGCAGCTTATCTTCTTTTACGGTGGAGTAACTTCCTTGTTAAACTCTATCCCAGATGTGTGTAATGCTCTTGCAGCATTATTTTTAAAAGTGAGATTAATGCTGCTGCTTTTTAAAAATTAATGAGATTATTATATAGGTTTGGTTCTTCCATATCTCTGAAAAATGTACAGTGATACTTCAGCATAGGAAAGAACCACTCCATCCACAGGGAGCAGGATTCACAGGAATTGTAATTTACGAAGAATAAATGAAATAGAGCGAGAAAGGTGTTTCGTCAGAATTCTTAGCCTAAATTGCTGGAGCGAAAAGGGACTAAAATGAGGAGTTTTGCTCATTTTAATTGCGTTTTATCCTACTGTCATCAGATTTAATTTTACCATTAGTATTAATATTTTAATTCTCATGTTTAATATGAATGATAGCATTTAATAATACAAAAAAACTGCAGGAGTAAAATCACACAAGGATGATATGTCCACTTTCATGCCATTCTCAGAAAAAAGCAAAATGTCTGTTATTTTGTTTCTGACAAAGAAAGGCATTGGTAATATGATTACATACCCATTTTGGGAATGTCTATTTCTAATTGGAATTACTAGATATTAGCACTCTGCTTCAGCCCCTGCTCCTAACAGGAAACCATGCCCATCAAGAACTTAGAAAAATAAGTTCCCAAGTAAATACCTATAACTAGGAATATTTTCTCAGAACTATTTTAAATGTTTCCAGTATTTAACCCGCCCCTCTTCCCCCTTATAAGATAAATGTTAGTATCCACCTCAAAGTTGTGAAGTTTAGATATGTTGTAGATTATACACTGGCATTTAACTAATGTTTCTATCATTATTTCTATTAGTGAGAGGCCTGTTACAGTCCCCTACCAACAGTCCCTGCTGCTCAGGATTCATTTCAACTTGATCAAGATTTTCTCCACTTGGGAAAAAATACTTTCCTGTCCTTTCTTCTGTCTTCTAAAGTTATATTTTAGGTAGAGGTGTACATCCCGGCATGTTCGTCAAGTTTAACAGTGTCCCTATTTTAATACTTCTTTTTTCCTTCCTCCTTCCTTCCCTTTTCCTTTCCTATTTCTGATTTCATGTGGGAGATTCTCTCTTCCTAGCTCATTGAGAGATTCTTATTTGAATATTTTTTTCACCCACACAAATAATTTAAATCCTTCTTTGCTAATTTAGCCAACCATGTTTCCTTCCATTGAAATGAATGCCGACCTGCTTTACAAGTGTAGGACATGTTTGATTACTAAGCCTGTCTCTCAAGACAATGGCTTTCACACTTTTTATTAACTGTAATCCAAACAGTAAGAAACTCATGTTTTACATGCAACCTAAGACACACACACATACAAGTATATATAACTGAAAACAAGGTTTCATGACACAAAACTTATCCTTACATGTTATGTGGTGTGATATATTATATTTTCTCTTCTTTTCTATTTCTTTGTTTAAAACATAGTGGTCACAAGCCACACACGTGATTTGATGACCCCCAGTTTTTAAAAAAAGCTGTCACACAAAAGACCTCTTGTAGTCACAGAAGCTAAAGAGTTTTGGTCAGCCCCCATGACATGTTATCTTCACTCTAGTCCATGTCTCCATACCTGAACGATATTAAGGGGATGAAATACTTTCTTAACCTCTGTGACCTTGACATTGCTAAGAGACTGTGGTCCTTTTCAATCAGCTTAAATCTAATAGAGCTGTACTTGTTAAAGCATTTTCACTTTTCTTTTTCTCCTGTTTGATTTTTGCAAAATTGACAAGACTTAAAAAATAAAAGAATAAAAGATTGAACAAGACAGACCCTTCTTAGTGAGAGTGACTAAATCTATCTTGGCTAATTTTGTAAACATTATATACCTAGAAGGAGATACGTGTCTTTTGGACTTCTCAGCATTATAAATGGGTCAGAATCTTTAATCAGCAGATTTGGTTTCTGATTAACCAGTTGAAGACAAAGGTTTATTTGGTTTCATCTAGGTTGAATGGGGGACAGTAACTAAGTGAAAGGGAGTTACCATATACAAGGGCAAGTAAGTGTGTCCTTCACTCCCTCATGTTTTAACTTATAGCTGCTGGCTTAAACAGTCTGGCTTTTATAGAAGTTTGTTGTTTTTGTTTTAAGATTTTTTTCATCCTGTATACTAAAGAACAGACATTTTCCCCAGAATACTCAGAACAACAAGGCAAAACAAGTTGGACTTTGGTACCATTATTCTCCCTTTAAGCGATTCCTCACCACTTGTCGTAGGTTCTCCTTCACCATCCCTTGGCACTTTTTGATCCTCTGCTTCTTGGCAAATTCTCCTCTCTCTTGGTCTTTGTGACTTTGGGGCCCTTTGGTGCTGGATCCCTCTGCTGAGTCTCTCCTACTTATTAAATGAGGGTGAATCTAGAAGATCTACTCAGTCCTCTTTTCCTTTGGCAGATTCACCTAATCATAGCTTTCATTGTCTCCTCTGTGCAAGATTCCCTTATCTACTATAACTTGGAAAATCTACTGCATACCTTTTCTTTCCCAGACCTTGCCTTTACCTCCTAAATTTTTTTTTTGGTATCATTAATATACAATTCCATGAGCAACATTGTTGTTACTAGATTCTCCCCATTATCAAGTCCCCACCACATACCCCAGTACAGTCACTGTCCATCAGTGTAGTAAGATGCTATAGAGTTACTGCTTGTCTTCTCTGTGCTATATTGCCTTCCCCACGGCTCCCCACTACATTATGTGTGCTAATTATAATGCCCCTTTCCCCCTTATCCCTCCCTTCCCACCCATCCTTCCCAGTCCCTTTCCCTTTGGCAACTGTTAGTCCATTCTTGGGTTCTATAAATCTGCTGCTGTTTTGTTCCTTCAGTTTTTTCTTTGTACTTATACTCCACAAATGAGTGAAATCATTTAGTACTTGTCTTTCTCTACTTGGCCTATTTCACTGAGCATAATACCCTCTAGCTCCATCCATGTTGTTGCAAATGGTAGGATTTGTTTTCTTCTTATGGCTGAATAATATTCCATTGTGTATATGTACCACATCTTCTTTATCCATTCATCTACTGATAGACACTTAGGTTGCTTCCATTTCTTGGCTATTGTAAATAGTGCTGTGATAAACATAGGGGTGCATATGTCTTTTTCAAGCTGGGCTGCGGCATTCTTAGGGTAAATTCCTAGGAGTGGAATTCCTGGGTCAAATGGTATTTCTATTTTGAGTTTTTTGAGGAGGCTCCATACTGCTTTCCACAATGGTTGAACTAGCTTACATTTTCACCAGCAGTGTAGGAGGGTTCCCCTTTCTCCACATCCTTGCCAACATTTGTTGTTGTTTGTCTTTTGAATGGTGGCCATCCTAACTGCTGTGAGATGATATCTCATTGCGGTTTTAATTTGCATTTCTCAGATGATTAGTGATGTGGAGCATCTTTTCATGTGCCTGTTGGCCATCTGAATTTCTTCTTTGGAGAAGTGTCTGACCTCCTAAGTTAACTAGGATTTGGTTTGGTCTTTGAATCCAAATTCCAAATAAGGGTGGATTGAACAAGAAAAAGTTAGTTTCTGTCACAACAGAGTCCTGGAATGGTATGGCTGCTCCATAGTCACCAGCGACCCCAATTCCATCTATCTTTTGCTCTGCCATCCTCAATCCATGGCTTCTATCTGATAGTCATGATGGTTGCTCACAATCTAGCCATCTATCTATCCCCCTTCCTGCCAGGAGTAGGGAGGGAAAAAAAAAGAGAAAAGTATTTCCAATCCTTTAAGGACTTCCCAAATTTGCTTATACTAAATCTGCTTCCATCCTATTGGCCAGGATTAATGCCCTAGCTGACATTACTGCACAACTGTCTGGGCTGTTCCTTTATTTTGGACTGCCTTGAATCCAGTTAAACACCGGATGTTTAATACTTTGAGGAAGGTAGTAGGGGGATGGGTATTTGGGATAACTTGCAACCCCTGACACATCTGTTACACTGTTTCTTTTAAACTAGTATTTCAGTTTTGTAATATTTTGCCAATATGACAAATTGAAAGTAATTTTTTCCCCATATGAAAATCTTCCATATCTCTGTGTGATAGCATGTTGTACACATTTTGTTCTCCCTTGGATGTTGTAAACTCCTTTCACTGTTTACGTAAAAGACGTTCAATAATATTTAAAAACTGTTTAGTGCTTCTTCTAAGTGGCCAAAGTTAAAGCAAAGTGTGGGAAAATACTATTATTTTAAAAGTTTATTTTATAAGCGCAGTGCTTAATTCATAGTTGACACATATATTATTAGTTGAAGAGATTAGTGAAAACTTAATGCTAAGTATCTAGGCTTTAATCCATTATGTCTTAAATGCTTAATTTTTCATTGTTAAGAAGGAAAAAAATTTGAGGTGGTAGGAATTTAATTCTGACTAATGCTTCATGTGATTTTTTTCTTTTAGTGTGGCTGTACTCCATGGAATAAAAGAGGGACTGCAGAAAGCTATAACAGATCGTACAGTAAAAGCCATTGTGATTTGTGGATCAAATGGCAAATTCTGTGCAGGTAACCAGTGTCTAAACCTCTCCCACTATCTCCGGAATCCAGCTACAGACCGAGATTCATAGTGCAGTAGTTGCATTACCCATACCTTAGTGTGGGTAATGATCTGGGAGACTTGAGCAGGAATTATAAACGTTGTGAAGAAACAATCACATGAGAAACCCAGAGAAGACTTTGACCTTGTTTTTTGATACTGGATTGGGCCTTTGGATGACATTTAGTTGCAGGCTTGATGGGTACTATACCTGCTAGTATAAACCTACTGGTACAAAGCTGCTCTGCATGTCTCCACCTGTGTGAGCTGGGGCAAATCCCTTTAAACTCCTAGACCTCAGTTTCTCTATTGATAAAGTAGATGCAGTCATATCTACCTTAACAGGCTTTTGTGAGATTAAATGACAGATTGTATCTGAAAGCCCCTAGTACAGTGCCTGAACATGCAGAAAATATTCAATAAATGTTATTTTTATTCCACACAGAGTCTTGAAATGGAATTCATTTTCTTCTGATAGTCACCCATCTCAGTGACCATAGCATTCTCTAATGGGTATTCTGTGAATATGCAAAAATATTGACAAAATATGGCAAAAGAATTTGAAATGATGATTCATTGATATTTGTAGCATCTTTTCCTTTTCCCAAATGAATATATTATACCCTTTGACAAAAGTGGATATGAGGGCCTATGTGTTGTTACTACAGCAGAGGATTTTAATGTATGTTTATGGTTGCCTGAGAAGAAATAGATATTGGACAAATAAGTAAATATAATAAAAATAAAATACATAATATAAATACAAACATTTTAATCATTATATTAATTACCATTTATCTTGCCTGCTACATTCTAGTACTATATAGGCTGTTCATTTATTAATAAAGAAAATAGTAGTATTTTTACACATATTATATATATATATATATTTTTTTTTTTTTTTGAGAGGGCATCTCTCATATTTATTGATCAAATGGTTGTTAACAACAATAAAATTCAGTATAGGGGGGTCAATGCTCAATGTACAATCATTAATCCATCTCAAGCCTAATTCTCGTCAGTCTCCAATCTTCTGAAGCATAACGAACAAGTTCTTACATGGTGAACGAATTCTTACAGAGTGAATAAATTCTTACATGGTGAACAGTACAAGGGCATTCATCACAGAAACTTTCGGTTTTGATCATGCAATATGACCTATAAACCATCAGGTCAAATATGAATATTCATTTGATTTTTGTACTTGATTTATATGTTGATCCCACATTTCTCCTATTATTATTATTATTTTTATTTTTAATAAAATGCTGAAGTGGTAGGTAGATGCAAGATAAAGGTAGAAAACATAGTTTAGTGCTGTAAGAAGGCAAATGTAGATGATCAGATGATCAGGTGTGTGCCTATGGACTAAGTATTAATCCAGGCTAGACAAGGGCAGCAAGACATCCACGGATGCAGAAGATTTCTCTCAAAGCAGGGGGGGTGAGGTTCTGAGCCTCACCTCTGTTGATCCCCAATTTCTCACCTGATGGCCCCCCTGCGACTGTGCCTGTCTTAGGTTGTTCCTCCCTTGAGGAATCTTACCCGTCTCTGGCTAACCAGTCATCTTCCGGGGCCATACAGGGAAATGTAAAGTTGGTAAGTGAGAGAGAAGCCATATTGTTTGAAAAGGTTAGCTTTTTACTTCTTTGCAGATTTATGCCCTGTGGCTTCTATGCCCAGCATTTGTCTTTAGGTATCTTTACCACTTGGAGGAATTATGATACTCGGTAAATTCGATATGAGGCACAAATTCTATTTAAGGGTTGTAATTAGGAAGGAAGAAGAAAAGCTATAGAGGTAGCAGATGGAAGAAAACATGGGAGGACTGATTATTTCTTTGACATATCTTCTTGTAGAGTAACTTAAGCATGTATAGGTTTTAAACTACTAATTAAATTGCGCACACACATTAACATAATAGGAATACAGTTACATAACCAAAGCAGATCTATAATTACCAACCATCTCCAGTGAAGCCAAGAAAACCAGGTAGGCACCCTAGGCATTTGTGAAAATTCGTCTATGATATGATGGATATTGTCCAACTGTACTTGAACAGTCTGAGAGACACTCAGTAAATCCTACAATCCTCAGTAAATCCTACAATCTCCACTTACAGGTGAGAAGACTAAGCCTGAGAGAAATTAAAATAATGTGCCAAACATTAACCAGCTATTAAATGACTTATTCACTGTTTGGAAACTTAAGGTTAGGAGTCCAAATTAATGACTGTTAGGCATGGAGAGAGGGATCAGAATTATGTAGAATTTGATATTTCTTTGTAAGAAAGGAGGTAGAAAGAGACAGAATGTAGTAAGTGTACAGGGGCAGAAAAAGTTATTTTTCTGGAAAAGCATTAGGGATTATCATACTTGACTTAATGGATCTTTATAGAACAATGCACCCAGCAATTGGAAAATATACACGTTCTTCTCAGATCTGCAACATTTACAGCAATTGGCTACATACTGGGCCATGAAATATTATCTTACTAAATTTCAGTTAGAATATGTTCTCTGACAACAGTGAGGTTAAAATAGAAATCAATAACAAAAATATAACCAGAAATTCCCATGTGTTTAGAAATTGAATTCATTTCTTAGTGACCTCTGAGTCAAAGCAGAAATCATAATAGAATTTAGAAAATATTTTGAACTGAATGATAGTGAAAATAGGACACATATAAATTGAAGAACACAGCTTATGCAAAATTTAACAGGAAATTTATAAGCTAGATTTATACCAGAAAAGAAAAATGACCAAAACATAACAAGCTAAGTATCTGTATCAAGGAATTAACAAAACAAACAGTAAAACAGACCCCAAATAAAGTTAGTTCCTTGAATGATTAATGAATTGACAAACCTCTAGAAAAACTGATCAAGAAAAAAAGAGATGGCACAATGTATATAAAGAATGGCAAAAGGGCTATCACTGCAGATGTAGCCATTAAAAAAAAGATAATGAAGATATCATGAACAAGTAGAAAAATAGGGCTAACCAAAACTGACTCAGAAGAAATAGAAAACCATTAAAGAAATTGAATCAGAATTCAAAAATCACACAGTAAATTCTGGCCCCAGATGACTTCATTGGCAAGCTTTAACTGAAAAATCAAGGAAAATATTCTTCTGATTTTATATAAATGTTTTAGAGAATAAAAAAGAGGGAACTCTTCCTATATTAGTTTCTTGGGGCTGCCGTAACAAATGACCACATACTGGGAGAATTAAAGCAACAGAAATCTATTCTTTCCCAGTTCTAGAGGGTAAAAGTTCAAAATCAGGATTTGCAAAGCCATTTCCCCACAAAGGCTCTAGGGAAGAATCCTTCCTTGCCTCTTCTCCCTTGTGTGGTTGCTGGCAATGCTTGGTGTTTCTGGCTTGTTGCTGCATTGCTCCTGTCTCTGCCTCTGTCTTCCCATGGCCTTCCCTCTGAGGTCCAAATTTCCCTGATCCTATATAGACACACTCTAATCCAGTATGACCTCACCTTTACCTGATCACATCTGGAGAGACTCTATTTCCAAATAACATCACATTTATAGGTTCTGGGTGGACACCACTCAACCCAGTACACTTTCCAACTCCTAGCATCACTTTGATACTAACACCTGGTCAAGGACAGTATGAAAAAGCAAAATTATCAGCCACTTTCATCCATAAACCGGCATAATAATCTTATGCAGTATATTATAAAATTGAATCTAACAATATACTAAAAAGTAAAGTACATCACTTTATCCCAGAAATACAGATTGATTAAACATTAGAAGAGCAATGTAATTCATCCTATTAAGACAGAATTAAAGGATTAAAAGAGAAAAATTATGTAATTATTTCAAGATAGAAAAAACATGATGATACTTTACATGCATTAAAGAAAAAACTCTTACTAAACTAGGTAGAGAAAGGAAATGTCTTAGGCAAAAGATAGTTACTTTTAAAAAGCTAAGCAAACATCAAACATAATGGTAAATTGAAAGCTTTCTTAATGAGAAAAGGAGTACGACAAGGCTGGCTTTTATTACCATTTCTATTTGACATGGTATTCTAGGCCCTGACCAGACCAGTAATGCTAGGAAAAGAAATAAAAGGTATGGAGATTGGAAAGGAAGAAACAAAACAATTATCCAGAAGATATGATAGTGTTTATAGAAAAATCAAAATGAGCTATCAGAAAATTATTAGAATTAATAAGAATTTAGTAATTTTTCTGGATATAAAGTCAATATCCAAAAATTAATTGCATCTCTATATGTCAAAAATAAATAGTTAAAGATTGAAATAACTATGTTTTTGTCTATGCCTTGCTGTCTGTAAACTGGGATAATAATACTAACTTTATGCTGCAAATAGAAGAATGTAGTATAACATTTAAGAATGTGGGCTTTGGAGTCAAACTGCTAGAGTTCAAATCCTTATTCTACCAGTAACTGGTCCATGTCCAAACTAGTCACTTAATATCTCAAAGCCTTAACTTCCTTACTCGTAAAATGGGGATGGTTATACTATTAACAACAGGTGTTAAGAAAATTAAATGAGACAATATATGAAACTACTTTGCACAGTATTTGATATAAAGTATCCAATAAATGTTCGTTGTTATTGCATGAAAAATCATTTTAATCTAGAGTTACAGGAATGACAGTCCTGAGATCCAGAAATACATCTTGTTTATCTATGACAAAAAGAATCTAAATAAAAATCATAGTACCACTTAATGTTTTCAAAGAATAGATAATGCTGTGGGGGAAAAGCTCTCCATGTATAATGTTATGTGGAAAAAGGAAAATAAAAAAAGTAATCTTACCAAATGCTCTCAATATTGGTAAAATATATATATATTATAATGAACTCATTTAATTTTCCCATCGTTCATATAAGATGGAGACAGAAAGGTTTGATAACTTACTCAGGGTCTTCAAAAATCTGTCCTTCCATATGATAGGCAGCAACTGTACCTTTAGAAAAATTAAAAAGCAGAGAGAAGGGGAATAGATTCTGAGACTGAATCAGCTCCTCCCGTTGATTGCATGGTACTGCTCACCAACCCTATGCACAGCAATTGAGATCCATACCTTTGTTAAGGGCATGAGTCATTATAATATCATAGAAGACCACAAGGTAAAATGCATACATATTTGTGAGTTATATGTTCATCAATGAGCTCAGAATTATGTTATTGTAACTGATCTTTATGATCAATAAAAGTAACATTTATTTCCCTAATTATCAAAGTAACACATGTATTATGGAAAATTTGAAAAATACCCAAAATTATGAAGAACACAAAGATTAACACAAATGTTACCACATAGAGATAATAATGTAATATTTTGGTGAATTCTTAGTTTTTCCCAACACATGTATCCAACTGGCTTTGTTACCTTGAGTAAATTATTAATCTGTAATCTTTAATCTATTTGTAACATAAGGTTAGTATTATTATCCCAATTTACAGAAAGCAAGACATAGACAAAAATATAGTTATTTTTCTCTTTAAATCTGTAAATAATCACAAATATGTATGCATTTTACCCTGAGGTCTTATAACAACTCATGCCCTTAACAAAGGTATGGGTCTCAATTGTTGTGGGTAGGGTTGGTGAGCAGTACCATGCAGTCAATGGGAGGAGCTGATTCAGTCTCAGAATCTATTCCCCTTCCCTCTGCTTTTTAATTTTTTTAAAGGTAGAATTGCTACCTATCATATGGAAGGACAGATTTTAGAAGATTACAGGATTCCCTGATAAAGATTTAGGATTTTAATCTCATATCATTATGCATTTTCTAGGTTGTTTTTCCTTTACTGTGTCTCCAGTCAAAGGATGAAGTGTTTCATGGGCCCAAAGTCTGAGATTCCTTAAGGGTTATCTGGTAATTAATTATTATGTAACAAAGCCCAAGTCTTTCTCAACTCTTTTTTCCTTGTCTTTGTCCTTAGGGGCTGATATCCGTACCTTCAGTGCTCCTAGAACCTACAGCTTCACATTGGGACATTTAGTAGATGAAATACAGAGAAATGAGAAGCCTGTGGTGGCAGCTATTGAAGGCGTGGCTCTAGGAGGGGGACTGGAGTTGGCCCTGGGCTGTCACTATAGGATTGCCCATGCAGAGGTGACAGCTGACAGTCTATGTGGGGTTTGGTACTGGGGGCTTTTCTTCAGGCAGACCTTAAATGTAGCCATGAAATTGAGATTAGTTGGCAGTTCTTAGGTATTTCTAGCATTCAGCTGCTGTGTACCAATACTGTGGTAGTTGTTACTGAAATGGTGAAATGTGTCCATTCTGGCTGGTAAGTAGCTGTTGCTCTGAGTCCCCTGACTGTTCCTTTGCTTCTCTTGACCCTAGCACTTGAGCCTTCCCATGATCCACTAGCCAAAGGGGAACTCCTGGGTCCATAGAGGGCCCTAGGACTCTGCTCCAGTACTATGGCCCATATCAGGTTCCACTGAGCCAAGCTCATGCACTATGATGTATTAAATATTTTGACTAGCTCCCCTGAATATCCATACTTACTTATATTTTCATTTCTTATCTTCAAGATTTCAGTTTTGTGAAATCTTATCAGTACCTAAAAAGACAAGTTCCTATTACAAAACAGCACAAAATGAGTAAATCCATTTATTTCTGAAAATAGATTTAATTTGGGCTATTGGACATATAGAACAAGGTCTGTGATACCAGTCTTATAATGATAACATTTTTGTAAGTAATATGTTTTTCTAATAATAAAGATATCATAATAATAAAGATATTATTTGTGATTTTAATAGACTAGAAAATAAAAGAAGTTATAAAGGTATAAACTAAAATCACCATAAACTTGTAGTTCAGAAATAACCACTATTAATGTTCTACTTTATTTTCTTCTGTTTTTTTTCTATATAACTTTTATTATAGTCTTTTGATTCTTTGCATTTTTTTAAGAACTATTTAAAACTACATTTTGAATTTTATTGTCTTTGTTGGTATTCTTATTTTTTTAATGCTAATTTTTTAAACTTGTTATTAAATATTCTTTATGCATTCTGCCAACTCTGCCTTTAGAAAGTTTAATCAACTTATATTTAAAGTAATTACTGATAAGGAAGGACTTTGCCATTTTGCTATTTGTTTTCTATGTCTTTTGTTTCTCAATTCCTCCATTAATTCTTTCATTTGTATTAAGTAGATATTTTCTAGTACCATTTTAATTCTCTTGTTTCTTTTACTATGTATTTTTTAGTTATTTTCTTAGTGGTGGTTGCCCTGGGGATTATGATTAACATCTTAATATATACAATTGATTTCAGATGAATGCCAATTTAATTTCAATAGTATAGAACAAATTTGTTCCCATACAGTTCTATTACCCACCCCCTTTATGCTGTTACTGACAGAAATTATATCATTACACACTGTGTGCCCTTCAGCATAGCTTTATAGTTAGTTACTTAATGTAGCAGTCTTTTTATTCTATCTGAAAAAGAATTATAAAGAAAATTACATTAATATCATCTTTTATATTTACCTATATAGTTACCTTTACCACTGTTAAAGAATAGGGTTCCTTCATGTGGATTTGAGTTTCTTTCTTTCTTTTTTGGGGGGAAAGGGATCAAATAATTTGTTAAGGAGCTTGGGAGAGTGTCAAATCCTTGGCCCAGCTGGGACCTTCCTAGCTTCACCGTTGCTGAAATTGAGTTTTTTCATTTCAGCATTAAGAATTTCTTATAGGGCAGATTTGCTAGCAGCATATTCAATCTTTGTATATCTGAGAATGTCTTAATTTGCCTTCATTTCCAAAGACTAGTTTTGCTGGATGTAGAATTCCTGTTTGACAGATTTTTTTTCCTCTCAGTATTTTGAATATTTCATCCCACTCACTACCTTCTAGCCTCCGTGGTTTTTGATGAGAAATTCACTGTTAATTTTATTACAAATATTCTTTTAAAAAATATCATTTTAAGTGGTTGCATAATTTTCTGTCTTACATGTATACCATTATTTATTTAACCATTTCCATATACTGTTTTTATTTTTCTAAAGGCTTATAAATAAAGACACATATCCTAAGAGCTCCTTTATTTGTGTCCTCTTCCCATAACCCTGTGCACACTGAGTGCATATCTAATGTACAGGCAATAATAAATTAGGGGATGGGGACAAACAGTGATGGAAAAAATAGTGACCATCTATTAATGTTAGGAAATTAATTGTTAGGAAACCTTGTGTGAGAGAGGCTCAAATATTCTAGGTATTTTGGAACTGTTGGTATCACAGTGTGGGTAAATGGCAGTCTGCATTTAAGTGACCTCCTCCTCCCATCCTTGAACCTGTAAAATGACTAACAAGAGCTTTGCCCATTTTTAAATTGCCAGAAGAGGAGAGAAAGGACTCAAGCTCCCTCTTTTCTGGACTGAGGTTGCTGCCTTTTTTTAAAAAATAATAACTTTATTGAGATATAATTCAAATACTCTATAATTTGTTCATTTAAAGTGTAGAATTGAATGGTATATTAGTGTATTCACAAAGTTGTGCAACCATTACCACAGTTGATTTTGGAACACTTCATTACCCCAAAAAGAAACTTTATACCCTTTAGCAGTAATGGGCCATCTCCCTTCTCCCCGAGTCCTAAACAATCTTCGATCTACTTTCTGTCCCTATGGATTTGCCTATTCTAGGCATTTCATGTAAATGTAATCATACAATATGTTGTCTTTTATGACTACGTCCTATCGCTTAGCCTGATGTTTTGAGGTTCACCTATGTTGTAACATGTATTAGTACTTTGTTCCTTTCCATGGCCAAATAATATTCCCTTATTTAGATGAACCATGTTTTCTTTATCTGGTCTTCAGGTGATGAACATTTGGGTTGTTTCTATTTTTTGGCTTTTATGAATTATGACATTATGAAAATTTGTGTACCAGATTTTTTGTGGGTATTTTTTTGTCATTTGTCAATATGTACTCAGAATTGCTGGGACATATGTTAACTCTGTATTTAACCTGTAGGGAACTGCCAAATTGTTTTCTAAAGTGGCTGCACCATTTTACATTCCCACCAGCAGTGTATAAGGGTTTTGTATGCTCCACATCCTCTCTAACACTAGTTACTGTTTATCTTTTTATTATAGCCATCCTAGTAGGTGTGAAGTAGTAACCTGTTGTGGCTTTAATTTGCATTTTTCTGGTGGCTAATGATATCAAGTATCTCTTCATGTGTGTACTGGCCATTGTGTATCTCTTCTTTGGAGAAATGTCTGTTCAGATTCTTTCCCCATTTTTAATTGGATTATTTGTCTTTTTATTATTGAGATGTAAAAGTTCTTTGTATGTTCCAGTTGTATGATTAGCAAATATTCTTTCCCATTCTGTGGGTTGTCTTTCTAATTTCTTGGCTGCCTGGCTCTTTCAGGACTCCATAAAGCTGTTCCTGAAAACGGTTATTTTTGTTGGCTGAGACAGGTCATAATAGAGTGAGAAAAAAAAAGTGTGTAAGAAGCTAGAGATGTGTTGCAACATGAAGACTTATGACAGCACATCTCTGCTTATGCTTTAATTAAAAGAGAGAGTGTATACTAATTTGCCCTGTAGAAACTCTTGCTGAATTCCATGAAACAATGTTTTTGAAAGTGTGGAAAATCCTGGGGAATGCTTGCCTTGACTCTATATATTATCTCATTCTAATAACTTTCATGCCTTCAAACTTTGATAGGCTCAAGTTGCCTTCCCAGAAGTTTTGCTAGGAATCATTCCTGGTGCAAGAGGTACCCAGCTTCTTCCCAGACTCATTGGAGTTCCTGCTGCACTTGACTTAATTACCACAGGTCAGTACAAACATGCCAACAGCTATCTAGATCAATGTGAGCAACTGGACTAAGATTTAGAAAAATCTTGGCTTGACTCTTCCCCTACCCATCTAATCTTAAGAGGATACTTTAATTTTTTTTAATGTCAATTTTCTCTTCTGTAAAATGGAAAGAATATCTTCCCTGAAAGGTTGTTAAATGTTACCATGAAGATCAAATGTAAGTGCCTTCTAAATGAAAGTGTTTATAAAATGCTAATCACATTTAGGCTTTATTATAGTTCAAGCGTCTATGCATAGAAACTGGTATTCACATAGGGTGTATTATATTCAGATCCAATTTAGAAATTCGAAATAAGTAAGAATTAAAACCAGAATTTGCAAGGAAAGTTTTTAAGTATTAGTATGGAACTGACCGCATTTTTAATTTCCCAAGATATTAACTGCAAATAGAAGTTGTTCTCTTTCAATAGGAACCAAATAATGCAAAACTAGAAAATATTTAGAGTCCCTAGATTTGCCAAATACCATAAGGCATAAAAAGAAATATTTCAGGTCTTTCTTTCAGAAAATTGAGGTAAGGTTGGAGGAAAGAACATACAACTTTTACTCTAGACAGCTATAACTAGTTATGAGACCTTGGGTCAATCACTTTACCTTTATGTGCCTTAGTTTCCTCATAAATGTGGATAACAATAGTACCTACCATCTGGTTGTGTGGTGAAGATTAGATAAATTAATATATACAATGTGCTTAGAACAATCTTAGACATGGTGATAACTCCATTAGTGTTAGCTATATGTTATTATTCCTGCACCTGTCTTCCTAGTAAAAGAAGAGGATTGAGTAAAAATAAGATAATAAACTATATCCTGAAGAATAGACATGAAAAAGAGCATAAGCTTTAGAATCAAAGACCTGAGTTTGAATCCCAGCTTTACCACATTTAAACAACATGCCTTGTGCAAGTTAATTTTTATTCATTCATCCAACAGCTATTCAGCCTCTTAGGTGCTGTTCCTTGTCCTAAACACTGGGTTTTCAGTGAACCAAATAAAAAAAAATCCTGCCTTCATGAAGATTATGTGGAGAAAACCACAGTGACAATAACCATCATTGTCATATTTCTTCAATTCAAAAATGCACAGGTTTTTCCACATCTCTAAAATCAGGATGCTTCTTACATTCATTGTAAGCCATGGTTTGATTTCCATAGTTTTTTCTTCTTTAATTTCTGTGTGCCAGGAATTTGGAAACAGCTTAGTTGAGTTCTAGCTCAGGGTTTCTCATGAGGTTGTAGTCAAGATATTGACAGGGGCTGTAGTAATCTGAAAACTTGAGTGGGGCTGGAAGGTCTACTTCCAGAATGGTTCCCTCACATGGATGGCTAGTTTGGTGCACACTGTGCAGGAGGCTTCATTTCCTCTGCAGGTGGACCTCTCCCTAGAGCTGTCTGACTGTCTTTCCAACATGGAAGCCGTCTTCTGGAGTGAGTGGCACAAGAGAGAGCAAGGCAAAAGGTGCAGTGTCTTTTATGACCTAGTTTTGGAGTCACACAGCATCTTTTCTGAATTATCCTATTGATTAAAGAGGCCTTCCCTGTTCAACTTGAGAGGGTGGTTCAATACCAAGAGGCTAAACTCCTTGGGGATCACTTTGGAGACTAGCTACCACAACTGTATACTCATGCATGTGCCTATTATTATATATATAAGAAATATATAGAGTAGGTTAGATGAAGATAGGTACTAAGAAGAAAAACATAAAGCAGAAAGGGGGAATATAAAATGTTAGGGATGAGGGTAATATTTTAGGTAGGGAGCTAGAAAAGGCTTTCCTACAAAATGACATCTGAGTAAAGACTAGAAGGAGGTAAGGAAGCTTATTAAGAGAGCATCTCAAGGAAGATACTCCACACAGAGAAAGTAGCAAATGCACAGCCCTGAGTCAGGGGCACACTTGGAAGGCTCAAGGAAAAGCAAGAAAGTCCATGTTCTGGAGTGAAATGAGTAAGGGAGAGTAGGAGGGGATGAAGTCACAGCATGTATGGCCTTGAAGATTATAGAAAGAACTTCAGCTTTTCTTCTGAACAAGGTAGAAAGGCATTGGAGTGTTTTAAGCAGAGGAGTAACATGCTCTCATTTATGCTTTTTAAAAGATCACTGGCTGTTGAAATTATGTTAATTGGAGGTAAGAGCAGAAAGAGGAAGACTGATTAGAAGGCTGCTGTGATCATCCAAGGGAGGGATGTTGGGAACTTGGGCCTGACCAGCAGCAATGTAAGTGGTGAGACATGGTCAAATTCTGGGTATACTTTGAAGGTACAGCCAAGAGGATTTTGTGACAGATCAAATTTGAGATGTGAGAGAGAGTGGGGAGTAAAGAATTATTCTGATGGCCTGAGCAGCTGGAAGGATGGCACCTTTATCAAAATGACGATTTCTGTTGGTAGAGCAGGTTGTAGGGAGGAATCACAAGGGTTCAGCTTTGGACAGGTCAAGTCTGAGAGACCTATTAGACATTCAAGTAGAGATGTCAATAAACAGACCGACCAGTTTAGAGTTTAGGAGAGAGATCTTTTGAACTCTTTACAGCCTTCATTTTGTCATCAGTGAAACAACCACATAGTTGTTTTAAAGAGTAACAGAATTACATGATATGCTTCTGGCATAGTACCTGTCACATAGAAGACATTTTATAAATGGTAACTGTAGTAGACAGAATAATGTTCCCCCAGAGATATCCACATCCTAATCCCCAGAACCTGTCAATATATCACCTTACATTCAAAAGGGACTTTGCAGATATGGTTAGGGATCTTAAAATGGGAGATTATTCTGGATTTTCCATATGGGCCTACTTTATCACAAGGAGCCTTAAAAGAGGGAGACAGGGGGTTCCAGAGAAGAAAAGCTGCACACCTGGCTTTAAAGATGGAGAAAGAGGCCACAAGCCAAGAAATATAGGCACCTTTTCAAGGCTGGAAAAGATAAAGAAACAGATTCTTAGAGCCTCCAGAAGGAACATAGTTCTATTGACCTATTTTAGACTCCTGACATCCTAAACTTGAGATAATAAATGTGTGTTGTTTTAAGTTGTTATGCTTCTTGTAATTTGTGTAGGAAACTAATAGAGTAGCTATTAATAATAATAATAATAAGACTCTTGATTTTTAGTTTGGAAAATTATTTTTTCTAAGAAAGGTTGCTAAAAAAAAACCCAAGTTGTTATTGAAAGCTAAAGATTCCCTACTGATGTTAATGAGGGAAAAACACCAGCTTTGTAGGTACAGTCCCCATGGGAAATTAATAAGTAAATAGATTTAGGTTAAATTAATAAGTAAATAGCTAACCTTTCTGATCTTCTGAAAACTATAAAAGAGGTAATTCTAGAAAGTGGAGCAATTACAGCAACCACTGCTTCTCCACAATTCCCTTAAAATGCCACCTGAAAACAACTGAATCCTTAACAGTAACCACAAAGATATGCTTGAGCACATGGCAGTCCATTCCCTGAGGCTCTCTGTCCAATCAACTGACAAGAACTACAGTGCCCTGCTCTTACTTTCTAGGTGCTGTCCTCTTTGTTCACTGAACAACATAGAAAGCCTCTGTTGTGTTCTCATAGAGCTTTGCCTCAGTCCCATGAGTTCCTTTATGATCATTCCCAGGACAAGAATGTTCTCGGGCTCTAGGCTTTGATGAGATGCCTCTTCCCACCCAAGGAACCGGGGGAGAGTTTGGGAGTGGCATCTTTATCCTGCTTGCCTTTCAGATTTAGGTCCAGGTGGGTTTTCTCTATATATGAACAAGATGTGGAGGGTGAGTTCTAGTACCCAAGGCTCCCAGGCAGCAATAATAAAAATTACCAAATGTCATTCCAGACAAACAAAAAAACTTAACAGTAAACCCCAGATCTGTGAAAATAGTCTGCACCATCAGAAAAATTAAATGTAAATATGAGTCTGTTGAAATAGGTTAAAGAAAACAAAAATTTTGGAAAATACACAATATTCTTAATTAGCAACGAAAATATTTATTTATTAAATAAGAACACCCTGTTTAAAATCAAAACATTCACCAAAATAATTTCTTTTTGAAGCAATAAAAAGAAGATGTGATATGGATGGAGCTACAGGGTATTATGCTCAATGAAATAAGCCAGGCAGAGAAAGACAAGTGCCAAATGATTTCCCTCATCTGTGGAGCATAACAACAAAGCAAAACTGAAGAAACAAAACAGCAGCAGACTCACAGAACCCAAGGGACTAGGGATTACCAAAGGGGAGGGGGGGAAGGGGAGGGTGGGTGAGGACAGAGGGAGAAGGGGATTGAGGGGTATTATGATTAGCACACATTATGTAGGGGGGTCACGAGGAAGGCAGTATAGCACAGAGAAGACAAGTAATAACTCTATATGCTGATGAACAGTGACTGCAATGGGGTATGTGTGTGGGGACTTGATAATATGGGTGAATGTTGAAACCACAATGTTGCTCATGTGAAACCTTTATAAGATTGTATATCAATGATACCTTAATAAAAAAATGTGATAGAACACAGTTAAATTAGCAACATGGAGTATAGAGACACATTTATAGAATTCAGAAAAATTTAGCAAAAAGATAGGTATATATAAATGAAGGCAGCACACATGGAAGTTATATAATAAAAGTCTCTGTTATGTTAAGAGCGCCAAAGCGAGAAGCAAAAAGGCGAGAAACAGTAACCAAAGGAAAAAATTGAAGAGACTCTTGAGATGTGAAATAGAATCAGATTGTATTTTAGCAAGCACACTATTTTCCTGGAAAAACTGATGAGATATCAATGCCCTGATGTATTATAGTAGATTTTAAACTTCCAGGAAATAGAAACCTGGAAGCTTCCAAAGAATAAAAAAATATATAACAAAGTTTATTTCAAAATAACCCAAATAACCTCAGCCACAAATAAATGCTAAATGTATGGAACATTCATATTCTAGGCTTCTATACAGTCTTTAAAATGATCATCTAAATCAGGAGTTCTTAGTGTGGTCCAGGGACTTCTGGGTATGCATGCCTAAGACCGTTGTGTGTGAGTGTGTGTGTGTGTTGGGGGTGGGGCAGGGTGGGGCTGCCATGAAATCAGAACTGTTTTCATAATAGGGCAATTATGGGACATAATAGGACAATTGCCTCTTCCACTCTCATTTTCTCACAAGTGTATGGTGGAATTTTCCAGAGGTTATTGTATGCTATGTGATACTTGAACAGATTGAATGCAAAAGTAGATATAAGAATCCAGCTGTCTTCTATTAAGCCAGACATGAAAGAAATTTTCAAAAATATAAAAACAACACACTTCTCACTAAATTTTTTGAAGTTTGAAAATACAGTCATCTTGCATAAAAATTTATGTTGACATAATAGGTTTATTCTTGTTATTTTAAAATGGTTTAATGAAGCATTTTTAAAGTTCTTAGTTGTAGTTTCTAAGACAGCAAATACTGGTAGAAATAATGCTCATAAACAAAAGCTTTTTGGAGTCCTCCACAATTTTTATGAGTGCAAAGGGGGTCCTACAATTAAAATGTTTGAGAATTGCTACTTGAAATCTGTGTTTTTTGACACAGAAACCATTATACAAACTATGCATACCTGATCCAAATTAGAAAACAGTGAGTCTGTGTGTATTAAAAAATGGCTTCTTTTCCCTTTTAAATGGGGAGAGGGTTTGTTATACAAATCCTATAGCATATGAAAGGGTAGTTAGAAAAACTAAGTGTATTAAATTTCTTGTCTTCAAAAAATGAAATTAGAAATTTTTAAATTTACAGTGGTATACTAAATACTCTATAAAGAATGAACTATTTTAAGTATCTAATATAGGATTCATAAAAGGATATTTACAATTCAACATACTACATAAATTCAAAGCACATCAGAGAGTTCATTCTGCAAAAGATAAAAGAAAAATGAAGCAAGCATAAAATATGGGGGGAAATCATAACAATGTGAAATTAGTCTGTAAATTCTAAGGTCTACAAAAATTAAAGCATGTGGGGGAATCTGAAGGAATTTTTTGGTCCCTATTTTCAGCATTAAGTCTGAAAGACAAGATTATCTTGGGGGAAATCAGGAAGAAATCTGACTTTTTGACAGAAAGAAATGAAGTGAACTAGGATTGGCCTTTTCCAAAGCACTGCTGCTTATAGAAATATCACTATTTTTAACATGATGAAGAAAAGAGGTAAAAACAGAGAAGGATATGATGGATTTTGATTTGCATAGAAAAGGTCACAGTGAATTAAAAAAAGCTAACATTAGAGTCATACACCTTTTTCAGTAGTCCATACAGTTTTAAGGGGGACTTTCAAATGACATCTGGGAAAGGTTCCACACAGAAAACTTTTTCTAAAGGTTGGAAAAGAAGCTGTGATGAAAATTGGAAAAAATTAAGATTATCTCGCTTGGAGAAGAGAAGTCTCAGCTTCAGTTGCCATGGCATCTCCATGTAGGAGCGTGAGGCAGACCTCCTAGAGAGCCCAATTGGACAATGGGTGTCTACACTGAGGGTGGCACAGGAAAAAACAAGTTTAAAACTCAGCTTGAGGATTGGTTTGGATATACAGAGCCTGTAGGTCCTTGAAACAGAATAAAAGTACCTGGAATCTCATTGACTCTGTAGGAACAGTAATAGAGGTCTCTGCTTTGTGAAATCCAGGCCAGAAGAAATGACTTCAGCTGAAGGAATTTTCAGTCCATCCTGTGGGTAGCTCATGTCTCCTGCTCAGTTGCCCCAAAGATCCTTTTAGCACTCAGGTTTCCATCTTCTACGTTGTGTCCATTTGGTCCCCTTAACCTGGTGAGCCTGATTCATTCACCCCTCACCTGAGTGATTTTATATACAGGAGACCCGACCCCTGAAACCACTCACCCATTCCCCACTATCCTTCTCACCCCTGGAAAGAGATCTGGAAGCCTGTGTTCAAAGGCACTTTCAGAAAACCTCCCAAATATTGCACTTACAGAAAATCATTGAACTGGCTATCTGATCAAGAAAACCTGCCCGAACTCTCTGAAGCACTAGTAAGAACCAGGAAGAGAGGTCTCAGATGACATCCACCAACACTGTAAGAGTAGTGAACAGTGTGGAATTGTTGCCACCAAGACTGATTTGATGGTTGCTTTTTGGAAGGCAAGATGGTCCTGGCAAGAAAACAAATAATGTGTTACTGTCTACTTCCTTTGACCCTGTGCTGAGGGATGCTTCTATCCCTTAACCTCCTACTTCAAAATATGCAGCTAAGTTACGTATTTTCACCTGGTGAAGAGCTTAGGAGTGATGCTCATCAAACTTCTGTAATTCCCTGGAAGCTGCCAGCACCCACAATGGACCCCAGGTACTCCTGGCGCCACTACTACGGCCGTACACTAGATGTCGCCACCTGTTAAACGCGATTTAAATGTTACTGCTGCTTAACGTTACTCCCGTTTGCCAAGCCTGGGCTCATGGGCCACACCCGGTTGCCGTAGGTCTCAAGGAACAAGAGTTTGATCGCCCCTGCTTCTTTTCTAGCTTCTGTAGTAGGAAGCAGGGCTCCAGGGCTTAGAGGACAGTGATTCCACAAACTACGGGAGGGGTTGAGGTGCTGGGTAGCCAAAAGGCAGCAGTCCTCCCGTTTGGTCCTAAGTAGTTTGGTTATAACTCACACAAGGTCAGCTTAATTTTTCCCCTGTCAACCCATCTATATTTGTGTTTGAGGGCTGCCTTCTTTATTTTAATTTTTTGTAACCATTGACAGCCCCTGGTGTATGTTGGCATAAGATAGATAGTATGTACTGCTCTGCTATTACCACCTCTGTCATTTTCAAAAGGCCAGTCGTCTCTTACATTTATATAGAGATTCATAGAATATAAAGAAAACATATCATTCTCATTTAATACTCATAATTGCTAAGGTAAACATAATTATTCCCATTTAACAATGAGGAAATTGTGGTCCTGGTACAGTTCTTCATTATCATATAAACAGTAAAAGGTAGAACTGGAGCTGGAGTCTAGGTTTTCGGCAATGATCTCAGCAATGGTCTTTCTACCATGACACTCAGTGTGTAACTTATTTAATAACAGATGTTAATATCCAGGATAGATAATCTTTCCCACTAGAAAGAGTAATGTTTTTGCTTCAGTCTCACAGTTTTCTTTGAGTGGTCTATTTTGTTTTGTTTTAGGAAGATATGTTTTGGCAGATGAAGGACTCAAGCTGGGTATTCTAGATGAAATTGTGAACTCAAACCTGGTTGAAGAAGCAATCAAATTAGCCCAGAGAGTTTCAGGTAAGCAGATAATAAAAATAGCATGAGACTGAGAACAAGCTAAATGTCCACTTTAATGAGGAACTCCTTGAACGTCTTCTGGTACCTCCATGCAAGAATATGATGCAACTTTAAGATGAATGAGAAACTCTCCTGATAGGTGTGAATGCCATGATATATTGTATTATTAAGTGAAAAAAAGCATCATTGTGTGGATAGTTTGCCATAGGGAATATCTATTTGGGCGAATGTATATATGTAACTGTTTGTCTATATGTAAGATATTTTTGTGAAGATTTGCAAGAAATGGTTAATGGCTGCCTCTGGAAATGGGGCTGGTCAGCCAGCGAAGCACTTGGAAAGAGACTTGTCATTGTTTACTCTTCTGTATCTTGACTTTTTATTAAGTGAATGTATTTTTCTATTGAGAAATATAATTAAAAACAAACAAGCAAACAAACATTTCAGCAAATAGAAACCAAGCTCTATAATTTACCACAATAAAACCAAAGTTCTGTCTCAGTGAGTTATGTTCTATCTTTCTCACTGGTTTCTTGCTTTATGGATTTGTGACATTCTTTTATGAGTTCATTGGAGTATTTTCCTCTTTTTACCTGCTTTTTTCAACTTGTGGAGATTGGGAGCAAGATGGAGAGGGTTCAAGAGTGTCAAAAAATAATTGGGAGAAGCGTTGGGTTACAGGTAGACCACAGTGTTCATCTCCCATGGTGGTAGGCAATGGCTTGGTGTTGCTTGGTGTCGTTCAAAGGCATTCTTTTGCAAAAGTCATAACATAGCAGGGAGCAAACACTTCCCAGAAATCATCTTTCTTTTTGTGGCTGTAGCCAGTTACTGTTTCAATTGCAATAGTGAAAGCTTGAACTGGAGAGGCCAGGGGCTGTTGGGAGAAAATCCTGATGACGCTTAAAGAGAATCAGCAAGTCTTTGCCCAAATGGGAATGAGTTTCTGCCATCTTTGCTTTCCTGACAACCTTCACATGTTTTCATAGCCAGTTTCACTGTGCCTCAGGGAAGGGCTTATTGTTTTGTTAGGGCTCACTTGGTTAGCCAACAACAAAGGCTATTTGCATTTGGAAGTCCCTAAATGATTTTTGGGTTTGGGGCTTAACAGAGACCCTTGTCTATCATTTACACCTGTGGTTTTAGTTTAAAAAGAACTTGGTTTCAACAGGAAGTTCTTATCCTTAAGAGATTTCTCTATCAGATTTGAGAGTTAAGTTATTAAAAGTGATAGATGAGGATCATTCTCTAGTACATTATAAAATGGTCTGTCTTAATTTTTAAAATTTATTTTATCTTTTAGGTGAGTTTTAAATTAAATTTGTGAACATTAAATCATTATTATTATTTATAAAATGGTCTATCAAGCTCAGTAACATTATACAGTTTGTCCACTTGGTGGCATCCTAATATTGAGGAGGAATCATCTACTTTAAAATTTGGTAATTCATCTGTTAACAGTAGGGTTCTGGGCTTTGAACAATTATGTACAGCTATTTTAGATTATGATCATGAAGACTGTAAAAATATGTAAAATTTGTACATAAAAATTTTGTCTAAAACATAAATTCACATACATTCTATAATTATAGCTACAGAGTATGCATCACTATAGCCAAAAATTAAAAGGAAATATGCAAGATTAAGTTGATTTTCCTCAAAAATGTCCCAATTGATCTTTACTTTTGTTTTAATTTTTTCCAGCTTTATTGAGGTGTGATTTGCACACAAGAAAATTCACCCATTGTAAATGCAGTGTGATGAATTTCTGTGTTTGTTTACAGTTACATAACTATTGTCACATTCAAGACATAGTTCTAGCACCCTAAGAAGTATTTTTATGCCTCTTTCCAATAGATTTCCTCTCTTGCTTGTTGGCTGCAGACAATCACTGACCTACTTTCTGTTATTATAGTTTTGTTTTTCCAGAATTTCGTATAGATGGAATCACACAGGTTGTATGTAGTCTTTTGTGTCTGTTTTTTTCACTTAGCATAATTTTTTCAAGATTCATTCATGTTGTTTCATGTATTACTATTTCATTCTTTTTTATTACTGAATAGTGTTCTGTAGTATGGATATACCACAATTTGTTTATCCATTTGTGAGTTGATGGATATTTAGATTTCTCTTGGTAAATAACCTAAAAGTGGTATTTTTGGGTCATATAGTAAATGTATGCTAAATTCTTAAATTCTTTTGAAACTTGATGATTAATGAAGAACAATTAGTAATCTGAAAGGTACTAATTTTTGCCAAGCAAACTGGAAAAGATGGAAGAATAAAATGGTGAAATTGAGTTTAAATAAGCTCTTATTATACTACTAGTAGTATGTCTCAGTTAGAGAGCCATTGGGCAATCATGCATTGAGGCTTATTCATATCTTTTGACTTAGCATTTCTATTCTTAGAAAATTATCACAGAGAAATAATAACAGAAATACCAAAGATTTGTGTATAGTGATACCCACTAAAACTTTATTTATAATTGTAAAATATTGGAAACAACCCAAATATCTCATTTTAGGGGATTAGTTACATTAAAGATGATAGATCTCAGTGAAGCAGCCCCATTCAGCCATTAAAACTTTCCGTTTTTAAGAAGGTTACAGAATTTGGAAAAATGCTTACATGTAATATTAAGTAGGAAACAGCCAGATAGGAAATCACACAAATACATGTGTGTGTGTGTGTTCACATGCATGTTTACATAAGGAAAAAAACAAGCAAACTTTTAACAGTGGTTGTATTTGGGTTGTAGGTAATGAAGACTGGATATTTGTTTTAATGTTTATCTTTTCCCCATATCTGAGTCATAAATTTACCAGAGGAAAATGGGATGCCTGGCCAGTGTGGAAGGGGTGCAGTCTGGTAAAGAAGTATACTCAGCATAAGAAGTCTGACCTGGATTGTAGTCTCAACCATAGCTAGACAGACATCAACAAATCAGCTTTTTGGACTCTAGCAATAAAAGGAAAAGGTTCAGTAAAATTAGTTGGTTTTGAACCTTGTTCTGAGACTTCACAGGCTCCAGTTTTTTGTCATTGTTACAACGTGGGCAGCTCCACTGAGTCTCTTTTGTGGTTTTGGGCTTAGAATCCCATGGAAAACTCTAGGAGTTCTACTGTTCTGTTTTGTTTTTTTAAGGAGTTCCACTGTTTGGAATCCTATGATTTCTTGGTGCTGCTTTGTAATAGATAAATGCTAGAAGTACAGGGTAGAGAGATAGGGCAAATCAACAAAGGACTACCTCTAAGAGTCTTATCTGCATTTGCCATTTATTATCTCACAAAATGCATATTTTAGCAAGGCTTATTTGTTTTGGCTTTTATTTTCATTTGAGGTCTTGTGCTTTTCCTTTCTTTTAGTTTCCCTGTTCCCTCCTTTTGTTTTCTTTTTCCTTGGTCTGCTTTTAAGTATCACTGTTAGTATATAGTTATTTGGCAGAACAAAATTGATGGACTGTTTTGAAGGACAGACAATTGTTTATTTTATAATTTATATTTTATGGTAGATACTTTTTAATAATAGACACATTTTATAATAAACATTTATAAAAATAGATGTATACTTTCTGTGTTATTGAAATATGTTAATACTAAATGTATGTGCATTTACAAATCTATAGTTACATGAGACAGATCTTGATCTAGAGCGATGGTTCTCAAACTTTACTGTGCACCATAATTACTTGGAGGGTCTGTTAAAACAGATTGTAGGACCCCATTCATTACTTTCTGATTCAGTATTTCTGGGGTGCAGCCCAAGAATTTGCCTCTCTAACAAGTTCCTGGGTGATGTTGGTGCTGTGTTCTGGGGACCACACTTTGAGAACCACTGATGAACGAAGAACATGGTGAGGATGGTGATAACTTTTCCTAGTTTTGACTTTTTACTCCTGACATGCAAACACTACCTGCAGTCTTAAAGATACTAGTAAATCAGTTATGAAAGGCATGGTTAAAAAACATACACGTATGGTTGCATACCTTCTGAATATACTAAAAACCACTGAATTGTAAACTTTAAAATGGTGGCTTTTAAGATATGTGAATTGTATCTCAATTTTTAAAATAACATGTAAAATTTATTAGTTTTCTTTTCCCATTTAAAAAATTATTCCATTTCTTCAGCCCATTTCTACCCTCATTCCTATATTCCCTCTCTGAAAAACTGACTTACCAAAAATAACAAAAGGAAAGGATTAAGAACACTTATTTAAGCTTCCACATCCAATAGGAAAGGAGAGAAGGAAGAGAATTTCCAATGGTCAGTATTGCAGTCAGTTATGGGTAGGAGAGGATTATAGGAAGTTAACATGTATCTAAAAATGTGATTTGGGAAGTAGCTGCAAATTTCTCTACAAATCTACCATCTATCTTGGAGAGTTGACTATGAAAGTTAATTAGCTTCATGCACCTTAATGCTCTTGCTATATGAAGCCTCTCAGACTACTGCAGTGCAATGGATTTAGCAGAGCAATTCAGAATTACAAACCAGATTGCTTTGGCTAAACTGGGGGGTGGGGGAGCGTCCTGTAAAATGCTATTCATTTGTACTTCCATTTGGCCAGCAGCCTTCTTGTTCCCAAACTGAGTAAGAACTCCTTGTTCCCACGTGCATGTTTCTGGCATGAAACTGAAAGTGTATTCTGTTATTCAAAGATGGGCATCCGCTACATCCAACTGAGAGCCTCAGTTCAGGAACCAAAAGCTCTGTTTTTGTCCCTGTCATGAATCCTCATTCTATTACTGTGATTTGCCCTGGGCTGTTAGCCATTTTTAGCAATTCTGATTCTGCCTTAAGACCTTGATCTACTTGTTCATTTTGATTTTGTGCCTTTAAAATTTTTTTTAGTGGTTTCATCTGTCTTTCCCTTTGTTTTGTCTTTTGCTTTTCCTAATTTATTTTTACTCTCTGTGAACATTTATGTAAACATGTTTCACAAGAACAGTGACCCTGCTTTACACAGAAGGCCTGCGCATATTTCTAAATCGAGGTTCTGTGGGTGACCTCTTAGAAGCCAGGAAAAGTAGAGTTATTCTATCTGCCCTTTCCACAGCTATTATGACAGACACAGCTTGCTGGTTATCAGAATTAGAGAAAAGACAGTCCTTTACAAGAAACCATTTCTGTAAATTGCATGTTGTGTCTCTCTTCACCCTGGGCAGAGACAATCTCTTTCTGTCAGTTTACTAGAAAGGAGAGAGGGAAAATAATCACCTTTTTTTCTTCCTTTAGGAGCATGATTCACTTTTTTTTAAAAATCAAAACTTGAGTATTCTTCTACCTTAGAATACCTCCAAGAATTAAGAAAAAAAATGGGAATGGGTCAAGGAAAGAATTCCATTATGAGTATATATGAATCAGTAATTAGTCCATCACCAATGCTGGTGCTGACCTGCCCACACTTTGCCTCTCTTATTATGTAGGCACAGCTGAGTGAACTTAAACTGCTAAGACTCTAAAGCCACCAAGGGTATAAGAAACACACTTTGAAAACACCCTGCCTATAGACCCAAAGGGGAAATTCTGAATATGTTTTGTAGTAATAAAACAAGGTTGTTAGATAATAACATCCTTCAGTTACAGCTACAGCAAGAAAGGGAGAGAAATTGAGCAGGGGAAAATCATCTACAACTGTGCCCCGATCCAAAACTCTCCAGTGGATGTGCTGAGCTTGGACCTGGGCTGGTCTGGACAGGTGCCCTGCATGGCTCCCAGAATGCCCATCTGCAGTCAGATGTTCTGAGTATCCCCAGCATAACAGGATTATACTGATCAGCAGGAATTACTGTACAACATTAAACAGACTTCTCTTTCTTCTTTTCCTTCTTTCTCTTCTCTTTCCTTTTCAAATTCTGACCCCAGGGCAAAGTTTGCCAGGAGCTGTTTGCCTTGACAGTGGCTGACCTAATGCTCTGTTCTTGGACCTCCCAGAGGCTACACCTCAAAATCAACTATTGAATGTTCAAAAATACTCATGTCCAGGCCCCCACCCTTAAAGATTCTTAACTGAGTCTGAAGTGGGACATAGGCATGTGAACTTTTGTATTCCTCAAATAACTCTGATGAGTATTATGGTATTGAGAATCAGCCCCCCTGCCCCCCTTAATGGGAATGCTGGTGGTGTCAAAATGACAGAAATCCAGCTGTGATACCCCAAACCTGTTATGCTCTGTCCCTGGCATAGACACACCAGCCAGCTGTTTATGCCATAACCCTGACAGCTCAGCCCTCTTTCCTCATTCACTTGGCCCCCCACACCCTTGTCCTCTCTCCTCCTCTTCTCACTGCCCACTCTTGCTCTCCTTTTGGGCCACTGGAAAGAAGCCTGGAAAGATTGAGGATTGGGCTCACTGAATAACTGAGTGTTGGTTAGCCTTTTGGATAGAGCTCATGTTTTTCCAACAATAGCAGAGCAAACAAGGACCATATGCTAATCATCATGTAGCCCTCCTTTTCTGAACCTTGTTCTTAACATCATATGGGAAAACATTAATTTAAAAATCCATCCTTTTCAGTTTTACTATAATCAAGCTTTAAGGGAATATCCTTGTCTCCAAGGTTTATAAAATAGCCAAGCATGTCTCCCAGAATGCCCATCTGCAGTCAGACATTCTGAGTATCCCCAGCATAACAGGATAATGCTGATCAGCAGTAATTACTCTACAACATTAAGCAGACTTCTCTTTTTTCTTTTCCTTCTTTCTCTTCTCTTTCCTTCCCAATTTCTGACCCCGGGTCAAAGTTTGCCAGGAGCTGCAGCTGCCCTATAATGTAATAGGATATTATAGAATGCCTCACAAGATGTATTCCCACATGCACACGACTCTTACTCTGTTGTGGACACAAGTAACACACCAGTGCCAGACAGGCTCAGATTCATGTCTTTTTATAGTGAATTGTTTTACAAGCTCTGGTAGGTTTTCTAATTAACTAAGGTGTGCATATTTGATATAATAGAGATAGTGGCACTTTTTAGGAAGCCAGTACCTTATCCATAGGCCACTGGGGCTGGTGACTTTTTAGAAAAACAGTTCTGGTAATGCAATCTGTAATACATTTATTATTTTATGCAAACTTTAGAATCATTCTGTTATTTAAAAAAATTTAGAACCATAAGGGTTCTGATTAAAAATTCAGTTAGAAATTCCATAATATGTATGGAAAACATCTATATTTTTGTGCTATTACATATTTATATCCAGGAACATGGGGTTTCTCTCTTTGTTAAGGTCTTATTTTATGTTCTTCAGTAAAATGTTATAATTATCTTCTTAAAGCTCTTGTATCTTTCTTGATAAATTCATTTCTAGGTATTTCTTAATAGCTTTAATGAATCACAATTCACCTGGTAGAGTGGTGCAACTATCCCCATAAATCAGTTCCTAGACAGAGTCCACTGTCCCCAAAAGTTTCTGCATGCCTTTTTGCAGCTTACCCCACCCACTCCCATCCCCAGCCCTAGGCAACCACTGATCTTTTCTAGGCATTTTTAAGTTTTTGTTACTATTAGGAAAGGAATTAACATTATTTTGACTCTAAAATATTATTAACTCAGAACTGTTTTCCTTAAACTCACTGACAGATTAATACTTAATCTATTATAAAGTTGTCTTGGCCTTGAAATAGGTAACTTGAAATTGCTTTGAATCTATTAAATCCTATTTTATGGGACTAGGATGCAAAGATATTGGAGATTTGGTTTTAGTGTTACATTAAATATCTTGATAAGTAGTACTGAATTTGAACCGGTTATTACTGTTTTTATTATATACTCATATTCCCTTTGCCTAAGTAACATTTCCAAAGATCTGATTTTCTTTCAGACCAATCTATAGAATCCCGTAGACTCTGCAACAGGCCAATTCAGAGCTTGCCCAACATGGAAAGCATTTTCAGTGACGCCCTTTTGAAGATACGGAAGCAGTACCCTGGGCTTCTTTCTCAGGAGACTTGCGTCCATGCCGTCCAGGCTGCCGTGAAGTATCCCTATGAGGTGGGCATCAAAAAGGAGGAGGAGCTGTTCATGTACCTTCAGAAATCAGGGCAGGCTAGAGCCCTGCAATATGCCTTCTTGGCTGAGAGGAAGGCAACTAAGTGGTCAGGTCCCTCTGGAGCATCCTGGAAAACAGCATCTGCACGACCCATCTCCTCAGCTGGCGTTCTTGGTAAGAACATAGGGTAGTTAAAAGTCATGCTCCCAATCTGCATGTAGAAATTGCTACCATTTGCTTAGGGCCACCAGGTGCCAGGCTCTGTGCTAAACACATTGTGTTAGCTAATGCAGTTTTCACCTGAGCCCATGAACTATCTTCATTTTACCTGTGCAGCCTAGAGACACTAATCTCCTCAACAATGAGCTAAACACAAGTGGACTGAGGGTCTGATGCTAGATCTGTCTGACTGAAGATTCTGAGCATTTTTTTCATGCACCCCTACCTCTTCCCTGCATGAGTCTCTCACCCCTGGATTTCCCAAGAGTGATTATTACTTGTACCACATTTCAAGGTGTGGCTTGTCACTCTTGTAGTTAGATATTTGGCATGAAGCCTCTGTCTTCCTGGTCCCTGATTCCATTCACTTCTCCTGGTTCAAAACTACTATCCTCAAATCCATCTGAATCCTGGAACAGTGACTTGCCTACTTTTCCCTCCTGGAATTTTCCCAAACAAAATGTCTTCCTTCCTCAGAGGCCAGCTCTCTGATAGGCTTCCTTGGGCCACTTTCCTAAGGCTCACTTGCTCTTAGTCTTGGCCCAGGAATGGTCTTTGCTGGATTTTAAACCCCCTGAATGGTAAGCAAAACGTTATGTGTCAGCTTATGTACCTTCTTCTGGGGAGGAGGTCTGTAGTTTACTAAAAGCATCAACTTTCTTGAGCCTTATTCAGCCGTCTGTATTGGTAAACCCCAATTCACCAAGCTACCTTGGAGGGAAAGAGCCCACTCCACAACTTGGCCTGTTATCTCAGTCAGGGTTTGCTATAACAAAGTATGTTTGTCGTAAAAACACACTATGCTCCTTCCAGCACTGACTGTTCACTTGTAATTTTTTTAAGGAGGTGAACAAATGGTGTGATGCTGAATTATGAATTTTCCTTTCTTTGTAATCTTTCAGCAACACTGATACTTGTTTCTAGTTGTGTGCTTCACCTGTTTATTCTTCCCTATATTCCTTGAAGCCAAGAATAAGTAATGCAAAAAATTAAGTTTATCAGCACTGTATTTATCAACCACTGAGAGTTTCCCTATTTCTTCGTTGTGAGTCTTGTTCAAAGACTTCAGGTTCATGTCGGCATGGAGTGTTTAAAATCTGAAGGTCTTTTTTTAAAAGTATACCCCCACATTGTTCTGAAAAATATTTGAGAAAGCGTTTAAAATATGTAGAAGACAACATGGATAAAAAATAAAGCAAGAGAGTTTGGTCCTGTCGCCTTCTTCCTGTTTATCTCCACACCGCTCTGCATTTCCTCTCCGGGCTGCAGCTGCCGCTGCGCCCTGTGCCCTCTGGAGAGCTCCGGCAGCCTCATCCACATCACTGATGGCGCCCTTCTCTCTCCCCTGCCTGAGACCTGCCTTACCCTAGGCATGTGCTTCACCGGCAGCCCTTGTAAGAGAATGCTACCGCCTCCCCCACACTCCATGGACACACCGTGGCCCCGAAACTTCCCAGTTCCCCTCTCGGACCATTATTCCTTTCAGGTCACTCTCCGTTGTGGTTCTGCCATCCAGTCCTATGGCTCTATTCCCCCATCATCACTGTTGAAAATCACTCCCCTTTACTTGTTGAAAATTCTGGTACCTGGCTCAGAGTTACCGCTTTGCCCACATCCTGCTGCCATCCTGAGTGTCATCTCGCCCGTGTGGACAACTCATCCAGCCCACTGCTTCCAAGTTCCTCTGTCTCCTCAGATTCAGTGACATTCACCTCACTTCACTTCCTTGACCCACACTTACAGCTCCGCCATAGGTCTTATCTTCACCCTGGACATTTCTCCCACCCCTAAAACTTGAAATCTCACCTATTCATCACCACCTTGTGCCTTTCCACATCCCATAGCTAGTTATTCCAATGATATCCATGACTTGATCAGCTCCCCTTGTCTTTTCCTTCTTCCCTATCCAACTTTCATTTTCGGAGTCACCACACCGGCCGCTCTCGCTGACGTCCTCGGCTCCATGATTCACTGTCTTTCACTGTGTCCCCGGCGGAACCGCGGCCCCGACGATCCCAGGGTGCACTGCGTGGGCCTCCGCGCAGGCCTCTCGATCAGGTCGGCGTCTCCGCAGGTTCACGTTCTCCCCGCCAGCCTGGCCTCCCCGGGTCGGCAGGAGGAGAGAAGACTACCGCCGGGCCAAACTGCAGAACCACTAGTTAAAGCATCTCTTATCCTTTATTTACTCCTCTCAGTAGAGGAGGTTCTTGATCATATTTAATTCCATGGCAGTTAAAGACAATAATTTGGTAGGGGAGCAAGACTCCTCGCCCATATCTGTATGTGTTTAGTGAGGAAAAATTAGGAAACTAAATTCAATATAAATACAATATGTATTTATGTAAACACAGTTACCATCAGTGGGAATTTTGGTGTTTCAGCACTTTCTTTGGGAGAACTTTGAGACCACAAGGTTGTGAGAAGTGAAGTCAGAAGCTAAGAACTTTTTGAAAGAAATATATATTGTGCTTTCATGTATGCGTTTGTTTCAGTGATTAAATAAAAAAATGTCAGTTTATTGAACTAAGGAAGATCTAAAATTTTAGCTGGGACACCTCTAAAGAGCATTAATCTGGTCCACTTTGTGACTTGAATCGTGAGTTGATTTGTAGCCCTCAGACGCGCTCTGAGAGGTGAGCACCGAAGAACTGTGCTCCACCTTCACCAGGTGCCTTTCCTTCCCTTCTCTTTTTTCAGGTCTGAGACTTCACCTACACTATGTGACACTTTACAAAGTGCTTTCACATAACTTCTCATTAGTCCCCATGGTCCCTGTGAGATTGTATTTCTATAGTGTCAGAATTTCACATGAAGCTTGGGACTGAAAGCTAGGAGGCCAGGGTTTTGAGCCCCACTCTAGTTCCTCTTTACCCAGGCTAAAGTTGAGGATACACATTGCTATACCAGTCAGAGCTATCCAGCCTTCTTGTTACTGAGTGGAATGCAGATGGTTGGTTAATTTGGAAAACTAAATGTTTTTAAAAACTTAATATCTTATTATATCAATTTAATAAAACTTGGAAATTAATTATATTTCAGAGAAACTAAGTCAGTGACTTGCAGTGACTGATAACAAACATTCTGTATGCACAACCAACCCCCAAAGCTAGTCAGTGTGAAGTACAGAAGAGTAATATGTAAATAATTTTCACAAAACTGTTTCATCCACAATGAACCAGCTAGGTAACAGACAACCTGCTGCTGTAACATAATAATCTCAGTGGCTGAACACAGTAAAGATTTATTTCCTCCCTGCTCTTCAAGATCATTCTAGAATCAGATTACTTCCCAGCTAGTGGCTCTGCTATTTTCCTGGACAACGGTTCAGCAAACTTTTTCTGTAAAGTGCCAGATAGTAAATATTTTAGGCTTTCTGGGCCATATGGTCTCTTTTGCAACTAGCCAACTCTGCCATTGAGAACAAAAACAATGCCATGGACAATACAGAAACAAATTAATGGTTTTCATTCCAATAAAACAGTATTTATGGGCACTGAAATTTGAATCTGATATGATTTTAATGTGTCACAAAATATTGTTCTTTTGTTCGTTTTTTTTTCAACTATTTAAATGTAAAAACATTCTCAGCTTGCAGGCTGTACACAAATAGGCAGTGGGCTGGATTGGGCCTGCACCCATAGTTTGCACACCTGCTCTGAGGTCTCCTCCAAGGCCTCAGAGTTGTTCTCTACATCCTCTATGTTCTGGTGGTAATGAGGATCTTGTGGAGATTTTTAGGGGCTGCCTGTGATCCCACACCACCCTCCTCCCCTACTTCATTAACCACAACTAGTCTCAGGCCCTACTAGGATACAAGGGGTCTGGAAAATACCGCCTTCTGTGTGCCCAGGGTGAAGTGAAATGGTATGGGGAAGGAACAACAACATCTTGCCATCAAATAATTTTCCTACATTTTCTGTTCTTATTACCTTTGCTTAAAATATTACTTCTTTCCTTTTCCCTTCCCCATCCTGGGTGGTTCGACTTCCCTGATCTCACCTAATTCAATATGCTCTTTCTGCAACTATTTCTTCAAATATCTTTATCTTGAAGCTTTCTTGATTCATCCAGCCAAAAATAATCTTTTTCCTTTGAATCACCAAACAAATTTGAACTTCTCATACCACTTTACTTTATAGAGAGGATACCTGTGAACTTTTCTTCTCACCACTAGATAATAAGCTCCCTGGGGTCTGGTACCACTCATATTTTTAAATAGCAGTTTTTTGAGATGTAACTCATATACTATTAAATTCATCCTTTTAAAGAGTACAACTCAATGTAAATGGTGCAGCTGCTATGGAAATCAGCATGGTAGTTCCTCCAAACACTAAAAATGCATTACATAAGATCCAGTAATTCCACTTCTAGGTATATAACAAAAAGCATTGAAAGCAGGGACTTGGACAGATATTTGTACACTCATATTCATAGCAACATTATTCACAATAGCCTAGAAGTGGAAGCAACCCAAATGTTGACTGACAGATGAATAGATAACCAAAATGCAGTATATATATACAACAGGATATTATTCAGTCTACAAAATAAGGAAATTCTAACATGCTACAACATGAATGAACCTTGAGGAAATTTTGCTAAGAGAAATAAACCAGTCACAAGTGAACAAATACTATATGATTCCACTTATATGAGGTATCTAAAATAGATGATATCCTAGAGATAGAAAGTAAAATGGTGGTTGCCATGGGTTGGTGGGATGGAGGAATTGGAAATTATTTTTTAATGGGTACAGAGTCTCAATTTTGCAAGGTGCAGGAGTTCTGGAGATGGATGGTGGTGTTCATTGCTCAATAATATAAATATACTAATGCCATTAAACTACATACTTAAATATAGTCATGATGGTAAATTTTATGTTATATGTATTTTACAATTAAAATACATTTTAAGTATACATTATGCCACCAAAAAGAATACAGTTCAGTGATTTTTATATATTCATAAATTTGTACAGTCATCACCAAAATCAATTTTAGAACATTTTCATCACCCTAAAAAATAACCCTGGACCTGTTACAGTCAGTCCTCATTGCCCTTTCCCCCAGCACGTGGCAACAGTCATCTAGTTTCTGCCTCCATGGATTTGCTGATTACTGGACCTTTCATATAAATGAAATCATACAGCACATGGGCTTTCGTGTCAACTTCTTTACCTTAGAATAATGTTTTTAGGTTCATCAATGTTGTAGGATGCAGCAGCACTTTATTCCTTTTTATGGATAAATAATACTCCACTTTATACCACCTTTTGTTCATTCACTCATCAGTTGATGGACATTTGCTTTGTTTTTACTCCTTGGCTATTTTGAATAATACTACTGTTAACATTTATGTACAAATTTTGTATGGACATATGTCTTCAATTCTCTTGGGGATATATATACATATTTCTATCTACCTACCTACCCAGGAGTAGAATTTCTGGATCACATGGAACTCCATACTTAATATTATAAGGAACTTCCAAACTGTTTTCTACAGTAGCTGTAGCAATTTACATCTGCCAGCAATGTGCAGGTTTCCAGTTTCTCTACATCCTGGCCAGAACTTGTTATTGTCTGTTTTTAAAAAGTATATCTCTCCTAGAGGGTATGAAGTAGTAGCTCATTGTGGTTTTGGTTTGCATTTACTTAATGACTAATGATGTTAAGTATCTCTTTATATGCTTATTATCCATTTGTATATTTTTGGAGAAATTTTTATTAGACCCATTGCCCAATTTTAAATTGACTTGTCTTTTTACTATTGAGTTGTAAGAATTTTTATATATTCTGTTATAAGTCCCATATCAGACATATGATTTGGAAATATTTCCTCCCATTGTTTCTTTTTCTCTTTTTTATAGTTTACTTTTTTTGTCCTTTGAAGCACAAAAATTTTTAATTTTGATGTCCAATTTATCTATTTTTTCTTTGTTGCTTATGCTTTTTGTGTAATATTTAAGAAACCATTGCCTAATACAAGGGCATATAGTAAATAAGAGTTTATGGTTTTAGCTTTTCAGTCTATGATCCATTTTGAGTTAATTTTTGTATATAGTGTGAGGTAAGAGTCAAACATTATTCTTTTGCATGTGGATATCCAGTTGTCTCAGCACCATTTGTTAACAAGATGATTCTTTCCCCATTGAATTATGTTGGCTCCCTTGTCAAAAACTGAATGGCCATAGTGTATGAATTTATTTCAGAACTCTCAGTTCTATTTCATTGGCCTATATGTCTATCCTTAGGCCAGTACCACAGTGTTCTGAATATTGTAGCTTTGTCATAAGTTTGGAAT